TTGTCCCGTTTATTTGTATTACAGCTGTGTGTGCTACAACATATTGATATTTTTAGACATCCTAGTATGACACGAGACGGCACATTCACCAGCAGACGCTGAACCGCAGTCATGAGCGACGATGAACAAGATCCAGAGGTCTCACCGCCTGAGGGTGAGACTGCTAACGCCGCACAGAGTTCATTCCGGTTTATCTTAGCACATTTTCTGAAGGTGCAGCTCTTACTGCGCTACACAGTGTTGATACGTCTGAATACAATCATCTACGCTCCTACGGGCCGACAGAACGTCGCAAGAGTGTCTACACTTGCATTTTGCATGAGGCGTCTACAGATCCTTAAGATTTCATAGTTTAGCTCTACTGATTCATACAAAGCTGGAGCTGGTGGTACCCATTGCCAGTTGCTAACGCACCGAAAGAGATATGGTATTGACATAAAGATTAAACTAGAGGTGGATAGCATTCTTCAAGGTGGCGCAGGTCCAAAACGATGCAAACTTTTACTACAGAAGAATTATAAACTTGAATCAACTATGATAGCAAACCAAACAAATTCCAGTTCAAGACAGCGATGGAAACATCACGTTGAGAAATGTGCATCGCCGAGTTGTGGATTGCAACATTTCATTGGGCCAAAATGTGTCTACAACTGGGCGGTTGAGCTCAACAATCGTGCTAGGCAATGGATCAATTGCCTGCGCTGATTAGAAAGGCTCATCACGAAGGGTTTAACGTTACAGCGCGTCTTTTCAAGTCGAAGCGTGAATCACGACATCGTGGTGATAATCATAGTAGTTTCTAATACCACCTGCTCTGCATAATACATGTACATACAGAAGTATCGATTTCCATCCAATGGAAATTGTATTGAAAAGCATCCGATTTTGTATAGCAGATAAGCCGCACCCCGAAATACACACACGAGCCTCGGCCCCATTAAGTAGGTCTTACGATTTTACATGAATGTAATAATGAAAATTATAATTTAGCCTTAAAGTAAGTTAGTGCAAAAACGAAACTGGATTGCGTACTATGTATTATACTGTACTTGTCTGGTCCGAAAAAGAATTAACAGTTCTTTAAATCGGAGATAACCTTGGTCGTACAGCTCCAACGGAAGCGTGGCTGAGCTACTTTAAAAGCTCTACCTACGTAGCCTCAGCACGATTTTTCGTATGAACAAATTTCCCTCCACTTTTGCCAATGCCTGAGGCTATCTCCACTTGAGCTGCTATCGGAGTTGCTATTGCTAAAATAGCGACGGAATCAGAAAGAATATATTCTGCTATCACCACTCGGAGTTGCTATTGCTATTTGAAAATAGAAATTCTGATTCGAGTTGCTATTCGGATCCCCAATAGCAACTCTGGTGCACGAATAGAAGCTCACTCAACCGAAAGATCGCAGGCGCCATGGGGAGAGGTCGGAAGTGGTGTGCTCAGGAGGACGAAGCTCTGGCTCGCGCGTACAAGATTTCTGCGGAGAACCCAATACAAGGAACGGACCAAAAAGCTGCTGCATTCTGGGAGGATGTGTGCCGGCACACGGCAGCAGTATTCGACGGTGAAGCTCGATCTCTACAAGCCGTCAAAAACCGTTGGAGCATCATATCACACGATGTAGCAAAGTTTTCGGGGTGTGTATCTCGTGTAAAAGGTCGCAACGAGTCTGGTAAAAGCGAAGACGACTTGACCAATGACGCCGGCACGTTGTATCAGGAAACCCATGGTAGTAGGTTCGAGTTTTTGTCGTGCTGGATGATACTGAAAAGCTGTCCCAAGTTCACGGCATTTGGACTACCTGCTCATCAAAAACGTGGCCAAAAGTCATCGAGTGAAGAGCAGGAAGAGTCCAGCCTCCGCCCAGAAGGAAGAGATAAAGCAAAAAAGGCACGACTACAACACACAGCACCAGTCTCAACTTCAACGCTGCTCCAACAACTACTCGATCACAACAGAGAGAAAAACGAGAAGATACTGGAAGAAATAAAACGCAAAAACGATTTGCGTGATGAAGAACTTTCTCTTCGGCTCTTTGAAACTTCTCCCGATACAGAACAAACAAGGCAGTTCCGAGAGCTGCTACAAAAGAAAAAGATGCTACAACTGCAACTTCATATTCGTAGCCTTGAGTCTGCACAAAATTCGCCTTCTGAAGCTACTACCGAGCGGGCCGCCGACTTTGTGGTGGTAACTGAAATTCACGATCAGAACAGCGATGATGCAGTGGTTACTTCGGCTTTGATCTAAGTTCGCGCAGAAGTTCCATGAAAATTCCAGTAGTGGTCGACAAGTGCATTTCGTAGCTCTTCATTTTCGCTCTCGCTTCTGATTTGACGTAAGCGAGCTCCATATTGATCAATGCGTTCAGGGTTATATCTAATATACTCGTTATGCTCACCAAATGAACGTTCATGTTGCTCCTGTTGGTCTCCACCGGTAGTCTCAAGCGGGGAGATGGCCTTTCCTTTGTGAGAAATTCGCATGTTGTGCAAAATTATGCAGCAAAGTATCACATCTTCCATTTCACGCAAATTCCACAAGCGGCATTGTTGTTTTAGAATTGAGAACCGCTTTCTCAACATTCCAAACACACATATAACTTCTTTGCGCACCGATTCTTGTACTTTTGTAAAGCAGCGCTGCTGCTCGTTGGTCGGGGTTGGAATTGCGGCTATTAAAATGTGCCACGGCGGATATATGCCATCGACAAAGTAATATGACTGGGAACGAGTTTTCGTGCCCAATTGATACGTCCCAACTGATATTCTTCCATTGAGCAAGTTGGCAATAAGCGGCGACCGGTCTAAAACATTTATATCATTTGCTGAGCCTGGCATACCGAAGAAGGAATGCCAGATCCATCGGTCGGCAGTAGCGACTGCCTCCGCAATTACAGTAGGCTTCTTCCCTTTTCCTTGGTAATAGCCCTTCCATGCGTTGGGGCACGCTGACCAGTCCCAGTGAAAACAATCTAGCGAGCCAAATAATCCAGGTAATCCTCTGTTTGCGTTAAAAGCTAGGATTTTCTCGGTATCTTCACGAGATGGCGATCGAAGAAACTCACGCCCAAAAATCTCGACGACAGACTTGCAAATTTCTTCATGCATGAGGATGCTAGAGACTCACTAATGCGATAGTATTGATCTTGAGCATCTGCTGAATCTCCCTCGGACAACATGTGCAGCGCCGCAGCAACCTTTTGCTCAGTGGAAGCCCCCATGAGCCCAACGGCATCAGAGTGTTGCTGAAAAAAATGCTCTTGAGATGATAGTTCTCCACAAATTCTGTTGAACACCGCAATAGGAACACAATGTCGTCGCTCAAACAGCTTCTCGCTGTAGACAGGGTTGTCCCCAAGATAATCTCGCACCAGGGCTGCGTGTCCAGACGCAATGTCGCGCGCGAGGCGCTTGATTCTTCTTTTGTTTGAGCCTTGACGAAGTGAAGGAGCCGTCGCTTGTTTTGTTGGCTCCGCGCAGACCACAGCGAAAACAGCAGCTAAAAGTTTATCGTCATCAGCGAGGAGAAACTCTTCGTCACTGCCCTCCATTGCCGATAGAATAGCCTCCAGACGGCTGGAGTTGGTGAAAAATCCTTATTTCTATTATCGCAGCGAATAGCAACAGCCAATACGGATAGCAACTACGAGTGGAGATAGCCTGACCATTTGAAGTATCACTTTACGGAGGGGTGGAGCTTTTTTTTGCTTTGACGTCAAAAATAATCAGAATTACACTTTAAAATATACTAGAAAAAGCGCAAACTGAGCGTCATCTAGTGGTATACATCACTAAAAGCAATTGAATCCATTTTCGCGTCAATGACTCATCCGTGTGCTTACAAATTCTCATACGAACTCATTTCAACCAATCGTACCCATCTCAGAATGGACATTGACCAATCACACATGCGCGGTTTTTTTATTGAAAAACCTACTTGTTATTTTCTTTTCTACCGGAGAAGTACTCGACTGTCCAGAACTTATTATTATTGGTGTGTCATCGTCACCTTTCGTAGGTGACACGCCGTCCTCGTCGCTCTGACGCAAACCCTGCAGTGCCAGCTCCAGGGCCCGAGTCAGATTCCGAGCCAGCACAGCAGGCTGCTTTTATATACCTAAGCAGCAAAATGGTCTGGGATGTGGAGCGTTCGAAATGGATGGCTTCAGTGCATCTGGCGAACCGGCCGTACGTTATTATTAGTCGCGGCAAAAGTATAAGGACCTTAAAAATTAGAATCCGACAGCTTCCTCCTCTTCTACCTCCTTGTCCTTCATGATTCATGAGCTTCATGATGAAGAACATGATGACAGCAGCACGATTGCCTGTCGATGACTGGCGTATGGAGCATGTCGTTGCTGCTTGGGCGGTCCGCAGCAGTTGAAGTTCCCGACGAGTAGCCAGCCAAGTCACTGCGTCATTGTCATTGACATTTTGTCAATGATTCATCGAGCCCACGTCAAGTATTAAAAGACTTCGAATATAAGCTGGGGTGCTACCGGCAAGCGCCTGGACACCATGACGCATAACGAGCGCGGCATGTCCAATGCTTCAAGGCTTGACTTAAGCATCTCACGCACTGCATTCGTAGAGATTCGAAGCCTCCCGGCGTGTCACCGCACTTGGCGGATAGTGGTATCTGCCACTACTTTTCTGATCCGAGATTGGTGGAAATGCGGCTTCAACCGTCGCAGAGGCGAGAGTGGTGACGCACTCAATTCTGTCACTTCGCCACTCGTGACGACACGCATTCATGATCGTGTGCTGCAAGGCGCACTCGCCTTCACTTTGCAAGTCGCTGTTTGCCACAGACCATCACTCATGACAGTGACCACACAAACGCAGGTGAATGTAGCCTCTCCCCCCGCGTCGCCGCTATCGTTGCGGGCCACGCCGCGAGTCGTAGCAGCCACCAAGTTGAAGAAGAACGAGCCCGCCACGAGCGCCCTGCTGCTCGTGGCCGTAATCTTCTTTGGTCTATTACTGGCGCTTGTTCTCATGGCCTTCTTCGCCTACGCGCCGCTATTGTGCGCGTCCTGGCTCGGCATCTTGTACGTCATCGGACTGTACGTGTCCACCGAGTCGAAATGGCGCTGGCATGACGCGCAGGAGTTCGAAAACCGCTTCTGGACGGGCACCGCCTTCCTGTTCAGCGCCGCAGTGGTTTACATCAAAGACTCGCCTCTTGCGGTCGGTCAATGGAGCTCCTCGCTCGGCCTCGTGCTCGTCTTCGGCTTCACCGCCAGTGTGCATTACTTCGATAGGTTCCTGCATCGCCAGAAGATCAGTCGTCGCCCGAGACTCAAGCTAACAACGCGACAAATGTCATGTAATTTATTCAAGTACAAAGCCACGGCCGAGGACAAGACGCAGCTCGTCATGGAGTGCGTCAGTCGCATCGACCGCCACTATCTACCCAGCACCATCAACAGCTTCATCAACTACGCCGAAGTCAAGCGCCGAGAGCTCAAGATCTTCCGGATCCTCGCTGGGGCGGCGAAAGACGAACTTAACTACATCCTGAACCACACACAACTCGCTCTGCTCTTCTACAAGGTCAAAGACCACTCGAGCGTGCGAGAAGATCAGAGTCGCACGCTCATTCTCGACTTGTTGTGCACCACGCGACTCGCAGATCTCTCGACTATGTCGCGAGCGCTTCTGTTGGACGCGTTGATGGTAATGAAGATCAGTGCGCACCCGATGGCGGAGAAATGGGTGCGCAACATCATTTTAAAAACCCAAGGAGACGATCTGAGCAACTTGAAGGCGCTTACGGACGCCAAAGGAGATTTCCACAGCATGCACAAGCTCGTCTTCAACGACATTCGCGACCTAGCGATCCGAGCTGATGTTCTGAGCCACATTCAACGGGAAGCAAGCGTCCAGATAGCCCACATGCGGCTGGGAACGAAGCGAGGTCGAAGTCGCAAGCTGCATGCATGGAGAAAGGTGTTAAGTGACGTGGACGACACGCTGTACTCGTCAGGGGGTCGCTATCCAGCAGGGTTGGACACCCGCTACCCTCGACACACGCTGTATCCTGGCGTTCTACCGTTCTACCGAGAACTGGACATGGGTACAGTAGGTCCGGACGAGTGGACCGAGGATCGTGTTGGCAATCTCGTGTTCCTGTCTGCAAGGCCTCACGTGTATAAGGACGTGTCGGAGAAGAAGTCGTACGCCAAGTTTGCGGCGTTGTACGAGAAGATGGGCATGCACACGCTGCCTACGATGCTTGCTGGCAACTTGACGTCCGGCCGTGCGTTCATGTGGCAAGGAGATCTGGAGCCCATGGCGCAGAAGAAGTTTGACAACTTTAGCGAGTTTTACCAGCTCTATCCCGAGTTTAAACACGTGTTTGTCGGTGACAATGGCCAAGGCGACGTGCGTGCTGCAGAGCTGATTGTGGAGAAGTTCGGCCCGGATGCGTTGGAGGCCTGCTTCTTTCAACGTGTGCAGCCCATGGAGAAGATGTTCAACTACCACTCGCCCGAGGATCTGGAGCGGTGGAGAAAGATGAACATCGTCTTCTTCGACACATACGTAGGCGCTGCAGTGGAGGCCTACCGCATGAACAAGATCCGGCTGAGTGGACTGAAGAAAGTCTGCGACGCCGCCGTGCTTTCGTTCGAGAGTATTACTTCCTGGCTCACGCCCCAGAGTCGGGAGCGTGCGAGGCTCGTGCTGAATCGTGATCTCGTCGCTGCCAACGCGTTAATGTCGAAGCAGTTCGGGTCGACTGCGTTAGTGATGAAGCCTCAAGTGTTCGCGCTCAACTCGGATGTTCGCACGCCAGTTGGCCGTGGGATTGTTCGAAGATTTCGTGGCACCGACGGTGTTTATCAAGTGGACTTGACGGACTGGCTGCCATCGCGACAGAAACGCGTGCAAGCTTTCTTCCCCGAGGACAGTCTCACAGCGTACGTTAGTACAGACATATCGCCCTTGGCCAAGAGCTCGCTGAGCTACGTCAAGTTCTACCTTGCCCCACCTCGAGGTTTTGAACCCCACACTGTGGTGCAGACACTTTTCGGTATTGGTCGAGTCGTAAGTTACCGCGACGAAGACGGTATCTACACGGTATCCATCCCAGGTGACCACAACATGCTGCATAAGACGGCGTTCTTGACCTGTGACAGTCTGCAGCCTGTGAACGACGAATTCCTCCAGAACTACGCGACGAACGGCTCGACGTCTCCGCGATTGTTTGCCGGTGTGCGTTCTGGCATTGGCTTCATCACCGAAAAGCTCATCACGTTCGTCCCTGGCGGATCTGGACCCGAGCCGCTGTTTGCCGTGACTGTGGTGGTGGATTCGCCCTTCGGTCGCGGTGTGGTTGTCCACTTCCGCGAGGACGATCGCGTGTACGAACTGCGGTTATTTAATAGCGAGACGAAGACCCGGAGTGGGGAGTTGCCGTCGCCAGTGAGCGTGTTCGTGCAGGAGCGACACTTGCAGCTGTCTCCTGTTTCTCCACCTCGAAGCCTTCTGTCGATGCTTGGATTGGGCTCCGGCATCAAGCAGGTAAGCGTGGAACCTCTTCCGGTCGGCTCGGAAGTTACCACGCCATACGGCAAGGGCATCGTGCGCAGCCACCGTGCTCCAGATGAGGTGTATGTCGTTGCTTTGACGGATTGGACGCTTGCGGATGGCCGTGAAGTGCTAGCGTACTTAACGTCGCTAGCTTCACTGCAACAAATCCGTTTGTGATGATGTTGCTCACCCTTAATCCAACTACTATTTTTATTAGCTTGCAACACAGAAATGAGGTGAGTTGCAGGAAACTTACAGACCGTTGGAGACCAGTAGAAGCAGTTAAGTGATCCTATCGCCGATTGAGTTGCTCAGAGATAATTTACCTCACCTCACCTAGGTGCACTCCGGCTGATGAGAAACCATTTCGCCAACGGATCGTTCAGATAGTAAGCGACAATCTTTACCTAAGTATGAAAGAACAATATCATCTTGTGCTAAGTCCCCGTCAGTCCGGACTTTCTAAGGTTAAAAGACGATGGGGTTGGCTTCAGCAATTGCACAAAATGTGCGGCATAGCCACCAATGGACGGTTATTTTGGAGCTAAATGGGTTCAAATTACCCCAGCCTAAGGATAGTTTTTTTTTCTGCAATCTACATTTGTCTTAACACGTGCTGTCCAGACACCTGCACTGTCCCATTTGGCCGCTCCTTCGAGTGCCACTCCATTCCTGAATTTGCAGTCTGCACCACCAACAGAGTTTCCTGCTTCCAGCTCACAATGCAGACCCCTTCCAACGCTACTAGCTACATCATGCCAGTGATATCGCCACAACTGAGTGTCGTGATGCTTCCGGATGCGGACACCAAGGAACGAAAGCTGCAGAACGAGGAACGTGTTGGTGCCACCCATGTGGCGGATATTGTCAACGAGACCGGAAAGGACTGGGATTTTCCGTTCTTCGGTTGCTTCGCAAGTGTTATGCCCAACTGCTGCATGTCCACGATCTGCCCGTGTTTCTCCATCGCGCAAATCCAAGCCCGACTGGGTAACTCGTACACGATGACTCTCTTCAGCCACGGTACTTCAGTCTTCGGTCTCGTCATCTGCGTCATCCTCTTCATCTCGCACTGCGTCACGACGGACGTGATCAATTCTCCAAATAGCTCGCGCCGGGGTGAGGTTCGTTCGTCGACGGGTCGACAGATTATCTTCCTGTGCGGAGCAGCGTTCTTCGCTCTGTTCTGCACCTTCTCGGTCTGCCTCGTACGAATGAAAGTACGAAAGCAGTACGAGATCAAAGGCAGCTATGCTCAAGATTGTTTGGTGTCCACGTGCTGCACGCCCTGCACTATAGCTCAGATGGCATCGCAGACGCAGAGCTACACACCAGGTATCGTCAACTTCCAAAATCCAACCGTCGACACACTCCCCGGGTACCCCACTACTCCAACGATGCCGATGTTTTTCGTTTAATCAAGTTAATAAGACTATTATTAATCGGATATATAAGAGCGCGAGCCCAACGGTTCCTTTGGTAGTGCATGTATCGCCGTGAAATCATGACGTGTTTATATTGCTCCTTTGCACTTCCCATAATCTCCAAAAACTACATGTACTGAGGTACCACTTCCGGAAAAGTCGTAATGATAGAGCACTTTGATGCACTGGCGATGAACCTTTTACGATTTATGCAAAGGTTTTCTTAACACGAAGTAATCTATGAAGTAGCGCTAGACCCTCACAAAATGAAAGGTTTATTCGCGCTACCCTTTCGACTTTTGTAACTTGCTATTAATACGTAACGCAAGTAGTCCTACTACCGATAAATTCCTTACAGCTTAGTGAGGCAATTCTTGCTCATGGTAACGAAATGGAGTTTGGTGTTTGTGTTGCTGATAGAACAGCTTGAAGTGTACCTAATGGCTTGTCTCCACTCGGAATGTGGCCCCGCACTACAGTGTTGCTGTTAGAAGTACTTGTTGGCACCACCTGGCTTAAGTCATCCTGAAAGTCATCTGCACAGGACCCAGTGACAGGGGTCGTTCACGTACATGTCTTTTTAATAATAAGCTTAGGTTCTCGTTCGCTCAGAAACCAAACACTTGCCTTCACAATCCGTAAGACGTGCCCTCGATTTGCCTTTGATTGGCATTCCCATTCGCGGTACTGGGCGTTCAGACCAATTGCAAAACGGAAGCAAACATGTCCAAGTCTGCTGCCGCGTATACTCAAGCTCGAGACCCAACAGCAATGCCACCCAAGCAGGTACCAACGCTCCCCGTGATCAAGATCGTCTTTGATGCCAACCCGCCTCGTCCCGTCAGGCGGGAACCAGCTCAACCGCGACCGCTTAGCTCCTCGAGATCGACATGGAACGCCAGCATTTGCGATTGTTGCTGCTCCGTAGCTCCGACATATTGCTGTGTTGTCACGTGCTGTCCTTGCACTACTATCGCATCAGTGAAGGAAAGCTTAAGTGGAGGCTACGAGAGGACTTTGCTGTATTTCGGCGGACTAGCGCTTGGATTTCTAATATCCGTCGGATTCGCAGCTTCGAACAGCTCTGACAAGTCTACAGACGTCCCAGTCGGTCCAAGACCCTCGTCGCCATCAGAATCATCTCAAGCAGAAGACTCTGGCCATTCAACTATGTGGCAAGCCTTTGCCGCGTTATTTTTGATCACGTTCCTGCTTGGTGTATGGCGGCTGCGTACGCAGACGCGCCACAGTCTTGGCATCCAAGGGTCGCAATTAAACGACTGTCTCTCCAGCTTCTGCTGCTGCTTTTGCGTTATCTCGCAACTTCATCTCGAACTCAAATGTCAGCACAGCGAACCGGCAACGCCAAGTCGACAAACGCGACGAGGTCAAGACAGCAACTTGACATCAGTCGACACGCTAGCGCCTTACGCAGTCATGTAGAAATCACACGCGATAATTTAATGGGAGGGTTGGGCTTCAACTTAACCGCGCTTTGATAATAAACGTGTCATAGCTATCCTTTAATACTATTAATACTCCCCGTAGGCAAAGAGTTTCGTTTTTTCAAAATTTTAAAGTTGGCTGGTACGACTTAAATAATTTAACGTTACAATCGCCCTGCCGCTCCCACTTGAGTTGCCGCGGCTGAATGCTCGTCGCTCCCCCTTGTCCTAACATTCCTTCCGTTGCTGACCGACGCGAACACGTGCGCTTCTAACACGGGCTACACGCTCTAATTAGTAGAGCGGTTCTACCTTCAGTGGAAGATTTGTCGATCACCAAGAAAACTCGAAAGAGACCGTAACCAAACTCAGTAAAACAGAGATGAGAAATAATAACAATCAGTTGTATTAATAGTCAGATACTTGTAGCTTTGTCTTTACAATTGGCAAGCATTTGGCAGCTAGATTGCACTGGTTTAGGTTACAAATTCAGAGTGCAGATGGCAACTGGTTTATCTCACGGATGGGGTGGTGGATAATCCACGCAGAGTACATGTAATGCCACATCGGACGTCGTAAACGACTGTCTTGAGCAAGTATTTGAGCATTAGCAGGTACGAGATCACGCGCCCCGCCACGTATGAAGACTGTAGCTGCCATCACCGCTATCGCCGCCACACTCGGCTCTCTCGTCGCTGCCGAGGAATGCGCGCCTACCACGCTGAGCTTTGCGCTGCTCCCCCTGGAATCGGAGTCGAAACTCTGCGCAACCGACTCGGGCTACAAGCTTTACCCGTTCACGGGTATGCCGTCGCAGGACGAAATCCAGGCCATGTGCAAGAGCAAAGCTTGCAACAAAATGCTTGGCGAAGCCAGAGACTCTGACATGCCTGACTGCGACTTGACTATCAACGGCACCGCGTACAATATTCAAGAGAGTATCGAACTCATGTTCGCAGGATGTGAGATTATTGATGTCAACGAGCTCTCAGGCTAACATGTTTGTTTGTGCTACAACCAAATAAAGTGTCTGGTGCGAGAATCTTTGCATGATTAAAATTTGTGTTTGTTATTTTGTTAAAATAATTCCTCTAATTTTTGAAGACAAGCTCTGAATCAGAGCCTTTGATGGCGAGGTTATCCTACCATACTGTACTACTTGGACACGCTGCGCTTGTCGAGAATAAATCGGTACATAACTACGAAGTAGCCGTTTGCCAAACTTGAGTGATCGGCGCTCTGCAAGGCGATAGGGCCGCACAGTTAAGCTGAGGAACCATGGTTAGTCGTGTAGATAATTGCTAATTGAATTAGGTCTAAAGCCCCATACAGAAAAGTAGGAGTAAAGTCCTGCATCATCATTAGGAAAGCAAGCCGACTTCGAATAGATTTTTTTTGCTAAGCACTTGCTGCTTGAAGCGGAATTTCTTTTCACCCCGAAAGGATTAAATGGATGCCTGAACATACTGTTACATGTATTGCCACTGAACACGCTGTTCAGTAGCAGAACTAAATCTGACTTATGAGACGATGCGTATCAAAACTGCCCGAGCAGCATACTATAGGAAGTTTGCTGGCACTAGTAGCGGAATCATTGTTGCAACTTCACTTTGGTCACAGCTTACAACTTGAATGATCTTTTATTTATTAATAACATTAAGTGTCTAAGGAAAACACTTCAGCTAAAACATGTAACCTTTTACGAAGTTTTAATACTTCTTGCACTTTTTAAAAGTAAAAGACGAATAGCTTATTAGGTAATGAGGGTATTTCGGGCCCTACAATGTCCTACGGTAGAGCAGGGTATGTAGACTACATACCCTGCTCTACCGTAGGACCCCTTTTATTTTACAACATGTTTCAATACCGGAACATTACATGTAACACACAGTTGCGACGTTGTAACAAAGGTTTAGTACCGGCACGCGAGTCATTACTTGACGGTGTCATCGAGCGACAGATCTGAACGGGCTTACTGGTTCACGAGAGGCTCGGAGAGCGGGTAAACAGTGACTAATTCTACGGTACCGGTACCATGACACTTCTTAAAGTGCTGCAAACCCCATACAGGACTACAGCAGACAACGATGAAGGTCTTATTGTCTCTGGCTCTGCTACTTGCTCCGTACGAAGTTTCAGCGGCATGTTCGAGCTGGTCCTCCCTGTATCAAGACGTCCTAGAAGGCGTGTGCGTTTGCAATGAAACGCAGTGCGACTCCATCGTTAGTGGCCAAGCAAAGTTGACGGAGGGAGAGGTTGGGGTCTACTCTACGTCTAAGGATGGTGCACGTTTTACCTACACGGTAGTGAACATCGACGAGTCGCCCAATGACGAGCCGACCTTCTTCATTGAGGTAAAGACGCAGTATCAGACCATGCTTGGCTTTGGTGGCGCCCTCACGGACGCAGCAGCCATCAACCAGGGGTCTGAATAAAAAATTTCCGTACGACTAAAATCAGTTTTTCACAATAAAAAAGCGGATTCGCAAAAAATATAATATCATATTGGACCAATTTTCACAATAAAATGTACAAAAGTAAGCTCATACAAATTCCAGGTCAAAACTCGAATTGGTGGACAACAGAGCTTCGCTCACCACCATATCTTGTCGAATCTATACGCCATACTTACTTGTTGATGTTAAAACGACTGGTTACAGTAGTAGGTGAGGTCGAGAAGCCTCTTGTACCTCGCTCGCTCACTTTTTAAAGTAACCTCCCGCCTCAAACATGCTGACAAACAACAAGGACATCTGCGCGTACTTCTACGAGGCCCTCGATCAAGGCCGTTATCGCTGCAAGCAGTGCGGTAACGAGAGAAAGCAACTTGCCAATACTGGCTACTCGAACCTGATCGCTCACCTCGCTCACAAGCACCCCGGTTTCAAGACTCAGCATGCAGCCTCCCTTTCTACAACATCTAAAAGTCTCCAGGACTTTGGGTTTGCCTCCGAAGAGACGACACATCGTTTCCAGTGGATGCAGTGGGTCATCGAGCGCAATATGCCGCTCTCAGAAGTTGACAACGAGCTGACACGATCGATGTCGAAATGGACATCCATTTCTTCGCGCGCTCTTCTCAACGCAATGCACGACGTGGCCAAGAAAGTTGGCAAGACGATCGAGTCGATGCTGGGCAGCTGTTTTGGAATAATGTTCGATGGATGGTCGAGTGGCTCCATGCACTACATCGCCGTTTATGGTGCTTTTGATACAGATGGGGATCTGCGTCTGCAGCTGCTCGCAGTGCCTCCCCTTGATGACGGATCGCAGGATGCAGATGTGCACATCAAGCTCTTTGACGGTGTGTTGGATGTCTACAACAAGACGCTCGACATGGTGGCGTTTATTGTTGGCGATAACTGCAGCACCAACCAGTCGATCGCCACCAAGCTTGGTGTTCCGCTTGTTGGTTGTGCCAGTCACCGGTTTAACTTGGCAGTTAACAAGTATCTCGCTGATTACGAACCGTTACTAGCGCAAGTTAACACGCTGATGTCAAAGTTATGTCAAGTTAATAACTTCGCCGAACTTTCAAAAGTGACCAGCCTCCATCCCATCAAACGATATATATGACGAGATGGAGTTCCAGTTTTGAGATGCTTCAGCGCTACATTCGAACTCGCCCTCAGATCAAGACAGTGGACGCCGTGGAGGAGCTGATCCCGACCGGTGCGTCACATCGGAAGCTGGTCGCTCTTCTTGAGCTCATGAAGAAGTTTCAAAGCGTGACGAAGAAGCTGCAGACTGAAGGTATTGACTTGGCGGACGTGCGCCTTCTCTTTGACTCTGTGGTCGCTATGTACCCATGCATGCGTGGTCACCTGAAGGCAGACGCTAACATCGTACATTCTCCTGTGTTCGAGTCGGCTGTCGTCAAGGTCATCAACGGCGTCAATCTTTCCAACGCAGAGTCGCAAGCAGTCAAGCGGTTTGAAGTGCCGGTTTGTGGCAACAAGAGGAAGATTCGTGCCGAAGACTACGCGACTCAGATCCTTCGTGCTGGGCCAGGCAAGCGGTCCAAGCAGGACAAAGGTGCTATCTACAATTCTCTCTTAAAGCACCTTCCACCGACATCAAACACGTGCGAGAGACTTTTCTCGCAATGCAAGCTGGTATTAACTCCACAGCGTACGTCCATGCTACCCGCCAATTTCGAACTACTAATGTTTCTTCGGGCAAACAGGAGCCTGTGGGACGTGACTACATTGGCATCCGTTCGAAGTGAGTCAGAGTCATGATAATACATTGCAGTATTTGCGGTCGTTTTTATTATTGCTTCTTGAGGTATTGAATCATTATTACTGCTGTGGTCGGCAGGAAATTCCGTATAATATTGAATTGGAGAAGCCCTGCCATCAACCTGTACAAACTGTCGCCCAAACTTCAGACTTTGGCTCTGGACCAGTACTTTTCCGAATCCGGTCTGCAGTACAGCCTGGCTCGAGTGCCCATCGGCTCGACGGATTTTTCGACGAGGACCTACACGTACAACGAGAAGGTGGACGACTTCAAGATGACCAACTTCACTATCGCTTCCGACAAGGCGCCGAACTCGAACAAGATCAACTTGATCAAGCGCGTACTTAAGATGACAGAACTGAAGTTGTTCGCGTCTTTGTGGGCTCCCCCTCTTTGGATGACGAGAGAGGACTCGGACGTCGATTGCAAGATCAAAGGAGCACCCGGTGAAAAGTACTGGGCGGCTCTAGCGCTGTACTACTCCAAGTTCTTCGATGCCTACAAAGAAGAAGGGATTGATTTCTGGGGTATGACAGTCCAGAACGAACCTGAGAAGCCTCCTCTTTCTGTATCTCAGTGGGAGACGCTGCGTATGACAGCTGAAGAAGAGCGGGACTTCATCAAGCTAAATTTAGGTCCATTGATGAAGAAGAATCATCCCGAGGTGAAGATAATGGCCAACGATGACCAGAAGCCAGGGATCATGGATCGCTCGGCGCCGTTTGATGACCCAGAGTCGAAAAAATACTTGAGTGGCCTTGCCTTCCACTGGTATCAGAACATTGACTTTATCCTTCCTGGAGCTGGCAATTTCAAGAATCTTCTCGAGTTCTCTGAGACGTATCCTGATATGTTCATGCTCGGCACGGAGGCGTGTTCAGGATACCTCCCGGCTCTCGTTGGAACCGGTAAAGGTCCTGCACTGGACGACTTCGACGAGGCCTGGAAACGTGCGCAACACTACGCTCGTGACATCATCGAGAACAGCAACAACATGGCCGCTGGGTGGGTCGACTGGAACCTGTTTCTGGACACGGATGGAGGCCCGAACTGGGCCAAGAACATGGTAGATTCGCCCATTCTTGTCGACGAACAGAACGGCGCCGAGTTCTACAAGCAGCCAATGTTCTACATCATGGGCCACTTCTCCAAGTTTGTGCCGCCCGGATCGAAGCGCATCAAGTTCCCCAAGACGGAGACGCTCGACGACTTCCACCGCTGTGCGTTCGTAACACCGGACAACCAAGTTGTGCTGCAGTTCCTGAACCGTGACAGTGACGAAGTTACTTTTACGGTGAAGCAGCCAGACTCCAACACGTTCACGATAACAATGCCCCCGCACACGGTGATCCTACCAGCATCAGAAGACACCAAAATTCTGTAGGAGAACGAAGTTTTGATAAAGTTTTTGTTTTATTTTTGTAGTATTTGGATTTATCTGCTTAAACATACTTTTAACGATTTGAAGACTATTATAATGCGGCCTGATCTTTTAAGCACGCAATATTTTCTTGCGCGACTCGAACACTCCGCATCGCGTGGCGTAGGCTGTCAACTCTGTGCGCACGTTCAGTTGCGTCCCCTCAAAGTCGATCGTGCAATCCGGCAGGTCGCTGTCAATGGCATCCTGCAATACACCCGTACACGTCGGGTTGGCACAAATAGCTGGCATCTGCTGCTCAGTGAATGGGTAAATGGTGTATCCCGTATCGTCGGCGCACGTTTTGGCATCGGACAGTAGCGGGAGCAATTTGAAGACGAGAGTCATGGTGGCGCAGGTTTCAGCTTCGACGAGGGTGGGTGCGGTGATGGCGACAAGAGCAGCAAGAGCGACGGTGATGGTAGAGGCCTTCATGTTGGTTTCCGGTAAGATGGCACTATTTGACTGGGTTCTTGTTCGTGTGAGGCAAATTGGGAAGTGAGTGAGGATGAATAATAGCATTTGCTCAAAATGAATTACAACCAAAGCCTTTTAGCTTGTAAATGAATTGTCTTTGGAATGGTGAAATGGCTTCACATTTTACCAATCGCAAGGAAAATTTGTTGGTCGATGTGAATCGTCTGATAAATTTTTCAAAAGATGCATGTTGTGGTGGTCGTGCTGCGAAACTTGAATTCATTTTGAGAAAAAAAATGCTGTCCGAGATACATGTGGAGACAGGTGGTAATGCAAGAATTCGTACAAATACCAAGTATTATACATGGTGCATCATATAAAGGATATAGCTTCAAAGTAATACACATAATAATACCGTCACCCAGGTGTACCATATTCGTGGCAATGACTAAGACTTGTACAGACCCCTGTGCTTCAGGCTCTTCGATGAGACGCAGCATGACCACCGCAATGCATCTTTCGAAAAATTAATTCGACGATCCACATCAGCCTGCAATTATACATCCGAACCCTCTGCGCTTTTCGGCAAAAATTGTACTGTACCGGTATGTTGCAGCATCGATGTGACGGGGTCACACAGCACCTTGCACAGAGGAAGTGCTTAAGGGTATTAACTACCCGAGTGAACGTAAGTCCACGTGTTCCCGGCCTCAGTGGGAACAGTTTGCTACTTAGAGGAGTAGATTTAAGACTGATGTATTTATAAGTAAGATAAGCTTGGGTCTCATACAAACTAGAGGTTACCTATAGTGGAGCTAAGTAGTCATGCACTGACTGGCTCCGAGAGCACCTGGTACCGTGTACCAGGTGTCCACAAGAGTGACGGGTCACTCTTTATGTAACATGGGGCACACTGGATTGTACCCCGTTACAATCGACGTGCAAAAAATCTTCACTCGTCACTTCGTGTTAGGCACGTGAAGAATGTCGGTGAAGCCCTCAAGCTTCCTTTGGTCAGGATATTTTTAACTTGATCAAAAAATATTTTAGTTTAGAATTGCATTTTGAATGACCCACTTACTGCGGGAATAGTCATTGTTTTAACTCCGCCAAAAACAAACGATATTGGTGTTTTCGGGGGCGTGTTGTTCGTCAGCTAGTCTTCAATCGGTCTATCTAAACGCTCATGTGTTCAAACTCTTTTTATCCCTCGTGATTGCTCAGCAAGAAAAAAAGCCTCAGCTTCTTGAAGTTTGTGGCTTGGTCGACTTCTTTTCGTGATTGCCATACAGCATGGACAACAATTATTTAACAAAAGTTGTACGATATTTTAACCGGACAGTCCACTCCGCATTGCAAAATCTTTGGATCTGTCACTGCAAAGAAACATATCGTGAATTCTGCAACTTCATTCACCTCCCAATTTGCCTCGCACGAACAAGAACCCAGTCAAATAGTGCCATCTTACCGGAAACCAACATGAAGACCTCTACCATCACCGTCGCTCTTGCTGCTCTTGTCGCCATCACCGCACCCACCCTCGTCGAAGCTGAAACCTGCGCCACCATGACTCTCGTCTTCAAATTGCTCCCGCTACTGTCCGATGCCAAAACGTGCGCCGACGATACGGGATACACCATTTACCCATTCAGCGGCAAACCCACTGAGCAGCAGATGCCAGCTATTTGTGCCAACCCGACGTGTACGGGTGTATTGCAGGATGCCATTGACAGCGACCTGCCGGATTGCACGATCGACTTTGAGGCGACGCAACTGAACGTGCGCGCAGAGTTGACAGCCTACGCCACGCGATGCGGAGTGTTCGAGTCGCGCAAGAAACCGTTGCGTGCTTGATAGATAAGTGCGAAAATCAATTGGCCAACTTTAAGCTCGATTATCTCGATAACTCTCAAAGGTTCGTAAGTAACATTTTGTTTGACGCAGTCTCATATCAGCTCTACATGCAGATCAGAAGGTATTGTAATTGGCGTTCTGCGCCAGCAAGTTTTTGAGTGAGTATATGCTTCAACTTTTTCAATGTCTTCTAATAAAGAATGAAAACCCCAAAATATGGTCCAATTTCACTTCTTAAGATGAAAGTCACGTTTACAGAGTGTATGCATTATCGGCGAACACGCCTTAGAGTTACTTTGCAAATTATATGGTAAGTAAAAACGCACGTCTTGTTTAAAAACAGTTAGCTAACCAGGGCATCGGAAATAAAATCTCCTATTAATAATTCGCTCGATATTTAAGATTATAATATAAAAATAAATAATTCCGTACAAAATACAGATAATATTGCAACTCATTTTCTTAAACCTTGTTGATTGTATTTCAGTTAAATCTTGATTTTTTTTTTCAGAGAAGTCAATAATAATAACTATATTACGCCTTCAGATAGAGAACTCTAGCTTCGGGAATATCTCAGGCTTTGAAAAAATAATCTTCTTTGTCCAGAAATAAATTCCAGTGGAATAGCGAAGGGTCGCGTTATTCCACTGAAATAAAGTAAAGGAATATCGGTCGGTAATCTATCCGTCATTTATTTCGTCATTTATTCAAAATTTATCCAGATAATCGCTATTCCAATATGGGCCAATTCCAAAAACTAAAGTTCACTAATACAGTGCGCGTCGTAATTATAGCCGCACCTGAAAAATAGAGCTCTTGCGCCAGAAACTGAGAGCTGCCTGCAATCGAAGGGCTCGGAGGCCGTCTTAAAGGGATAGAAGACTTGTGCAGCAAGCGAGGTTGAAAACGACTAAGTCGGCTTGGAGCCAGGAGGCAAAATCTGGTTTGAGGTCGGGTCAGAACTATAGCCGCACTTGGTAATTTAAAATTCAGTAAAGTAATAAACAAAAATGATTGACTTTCAAATGTAATAAATGAGACCTGTGGACAGCCGTGTGAAAGACCTTTTAGAACCTATTCTTAGATTCGCAGGGAAGCCAGAAACGATGCCACGAGGCAAGCAGCTAACCGAGGAGGAGTGCATGATGATAAACGAGCACTACAGAGGCGGAAAAAGCAACCGAGAGATCGGCAGGCTCTTAGGACGCGACGAGAAGGCAATAAGGAACTACTTGAAGCGCGGGAAGGCGTCCTCGCTGACGAAGAGGACAGGAAGAAAGCCGAAAATAGTTGGCCGGGAGGCCCAATCAGCTATTCCGCTGATATAATACCGGTGTCCATATTAGTGTATTATATTTTTTCCAATGCAGCCTTAAGACCGATAGAAACTTCAATATTTTAGCTTGATTCTCGATAATAATAATATGGTACTGTCCGACTAGTTGTTTAAGGTGCTCCTAACGATACTTCCTTATGTCTTTCGACCCGGTACAGCAGTAGCAGGAGCTCCATTTGTGTTGGAGTTAAAGCGAACAGACGGAGACGATGCTAACACGTATCCCGAAGTAGCGGGAGCTCCTCCGTTCACAATCGGACGCGCAGTCTGGAAGCCATCGGCGACATATCCGGAGCTAGGTTGTGTAGGCGAATGCAGCAGGTTGCGGTCGAGATGATCATTCGCGTACAAACTGCGCTGCACTTCCGGCTGATTCTGGCTCTGTAAAGCCTCCAGTTGACGCATCAGTTTGCGGCGCTTCCACCAGTAATATCCGTATGCGAGCAGCATTAGGACGATCACAACGAGCGCCACAATTACCACATACATCCACCATTGCCAGAAGAAACAAGGCTTGCCCGAGAACGGCACGTAGCTGCTGATAAGACTGCTTTTCCTGTCCGCAGAGCCGACACAGTCGCAGAGCGAATCCTCAGCAGTCATCGTCTCTATCGTGATATTCTTACTGGACGTGACACCATTCGGACAGTTGTCTGCTATTGCAAGACCCACGCGTTCATTGGCACGATCATGCACTGTGAATAACCCGTCCATGAACACGTCGCCTAGCAGCGTAAAATCGCCCTCCGAGATGCCAAACACTCGACACGCTGCTTCTCCTCGCCCCGTGGAGACCACAATAGGGCGCCAAATGTACTCAGCTGGGATGGTGATAGTCATCTGCTGCGAGTTATCGCCATCGACTGCAAGGGAGATGGTCAGTCCTGGTAGTTGGTAAATGATTGAGTCAGCATTATTTGGATCGCAGTCGCTTGAACAGCAAGTCGTGTCGTCGTCGAAGAAGCTGTCGGAGACTGTGGCGATTCGTTCAACCTGCGTCTTAAGCTCGGCAATTATTGCGCTGTATACACTGGACGGGAAGGCGATGTTGCTGGTACCCGAGTCCACGATCGATCGAGGCGAGTTGATGCTCTCGCAGTCGAGTCCCAAACTCTCCGTTCACTCCAATATCCGTGATAATAACGTTGAAATATTTCTCCTGGACCAACGGGGTGTACACAATATCTCCCTTGTGATAACTCTCTCCATTGGGTCCTTCGGTTCCCCCAAGAAGGAATTCCCCCGCATACAAATGTGACCCATCTTCCGTCGAGACATTGCTCAAACTCAGCGCTTGCAACGCGCCACACATCTGCAGACTGAAGACGTTTGCCAGTCCATCAGCACTCAGAACTGTATCGAAATAGGGCGTCGGTGGGTTACTAGAGGGCGACGCAATAGACTTGTACCCCAGACCGATGATACCATCGTAACCTGACGAGATGAAGCTGTCCTCGGCCGTGATCTCGGCGAAATGCATGTTCTCCACGGTGCCGAGACCCTGTCCGGAGAAAGTGTCCCGCACCACTTCGCCACTCCATGCACCGCTCACGTAGCTCACACTGACACTGGCGCCTTCGTCTACGCACGTGCTGGAGTCCGAACACGAGTAGAGATTCTGGTTGGTCAATGAGCAGCACTCAGCCGTGACCACCGCCGTGTTGGCCGAGCCCGTGTCCAGTAGCAGGTTAAACGAGTTGGAACTGGAGCTGCTCGATCCCAAAGAGTACAGCGGTGACCCAATATTCACTTCCACGTAGTAGGCCAAGCCCGACGAGAGTCCCCAGAGCTGCTGCTGCAGGACATTGCTGGCCTGTGCGGTCTGTGTCAGCAGTGCCGTTGCTACTGCTATCCGCATATTGGCCGATTACAACGTGCTGACTTAACGTGCGGACGTAACAGTGCAAAATACACTCTGGGTTGTGGAGGCAGTGTCCTTGACAAGAGCCTGAAAGTGAGGCCATTGATGCCCCAGCAGCGGGTCGCAATGCCTTTCGTCGACAGCCTGCGATATTGGATATGAGGTGTCTGCCATGGCACCGAAATGCACTCTGGCACTGTTTGAAAAACCTGTAGTTATTTATGAGATTAAAAAACGAATGTGTTGGACTTCATGATCACGCACTATCGCTTGGAAATAAAATGCGGATGTCCCAACAGATCGTGGCCACTTTTAGATCGGTCGTGCACATCTCGCCACAACGAGTTAGGATATGGCAGTTTTACCTTTTCAAACGATTAGGCTTACAAACGTACCTCAAAAGTGGATTTTTAAGCTCATCTATATCTGGTGCTATCCATATTAAAACGATGAAAGTGGCGTAAGCAGTCAAACGCTGATCATGTGTTCGCAGTCTCGAATCTGCATTGCATGTATCATAGCCTTGCAGCACCGAGCTGGACAAGATGGCTCTGACTGTGCTCTATGCGGTCTCGACCTAATAAAGAGATTACTTATTAATAAGTACATATACTCATAATAGCTAGTGTAAAGGTTAGTCGATCGGAAATTGGCCGGAAAATACCACAAAGAGTTATGCTGCTGCAGGACACCTCTATAATTGCAGGTCGTGGTGAGCTAAGGTCACTGAATTCGGCAGCTTTGGGACAACGATTTAACTCAGCTGCGCGATCACTGGAGCCGACGGAAAATCTGTTAAGACCGTCATCACTTTCGTGGATTGGTGTAAACGAGCGACTGCAACAAAACTTCAACTTTAGTCGCTCCTTCAATTTATGTAAAATCCACCAAATAAACCACTACATTTCCACCTCGGTAAACTCCGTTTTTCAATTAATTATCTCTCTTCGTTAAGTTTGCTTCCATTAAGCTCTCCATCGCCAAGCACCGCACCGCGTCGCCGTCCACGATGATGAAGAAGAGCGTGGTGAAGAATCGCGCGCCGGCGCCCATCCAGATCACAGCGGAGCAGATCCTGCTGGAGGCCAACCAGCGCAAGGAAGAGTTCGCACAGCCTCCGCGTCGCCGCATCACGGATGCCGCCGAGCTGGCCGAGTACCGTATGGGCAAGCGCAAGTCTTTCGAGGACGAGCTACGAAGCCAGCGTCATCACGTGGGTACATGGATGAAGTATGCAGCCTGGGAAGAGAGTCAGGAGGAGTTCGGTCGCGCCCGCAGCGTCTTCGAGCGCGCATTAGACGTGGACTACAAGGCCACCACGATCTGGCTCAAATACGCCGAGATGGAGATGCGCCACAAGTTCGTCAACCACGCGCGCAACGTCTGGGACCGCGCTGTGACGCTGCTGCCTCGTGTGGCTCAATTCTGGTACAAATATGCATTTATGGAGGAGATGTTAGGCAATCTCAATGGCGCTCGACGAGTGTTCGAGCGCTGGATGGAGTGGCAGCCCGACGACCAGGCCTGGTACTCATATATCAAGCTGGAAATGCGTGCCAAGGACATCCCACGCGCACGAGCGTTGTATGAGCGCTACGTCATGTGCCATCCTGGTGAAAAGGCGTATATTAAGTACGCCAAGTGGGAAGAGAAGTCGCAGAAGCAGCTCACGTTGGCCAGACAAGTGTACGAGCGCGCATTGGAAGAGCTGCGTAGTGACGAGAAGTCCGAGCAGATTTATCTGGCCTTTGCGCTCTTCGAAGAGCGGTGTCGTGAGCTGGAACGGGCACGAGCAGTGTTTAAGTACGCGCTGGATACGTTGCCCAAGGAGGAGGCGCCTGCACTTTACAGTGCGTTTATCACATTTGAGAAGCAACACGGCGACAAGGAGAGAGTCGAAGAAGTAGTGATTGCCAAGCGCCGCGTTGTGTACGAGCAGCAAGTGGCTGCGAACGCACTGGACTACGACTCGTGGCTCGAGTACATCAAGCTCGAGGAGAACGAAGCTGCTGGCTCGCAATCCTTTGGCCTCGTACGTGAAGTGTATGAACGAGCCATCGCCAATGTGCCTCCTATCCCTGAGAAGAAATACTGGCGTCGATACATCTATCTGTGGATTAAGTACGCATTGTTCGAGGAGCTTCTAGCAGGTGACAACGACGACAGCGGCAGCTCTTCCGAGCGCTGTAAACAGGTCTACAAGACGTGTCTGAAGCTCATTCCACACGACAAGTTCACGTTTGCTAAGATCTGGATACTCTACGCCAAGTTCCTCATCCGTCAGCGCGATGTACAGGGAGCACGGCTGACTCTAGGTGAGGCATTGGGGCGCTGTCCGAAGAAGAAACTCTTTACGAACTACATCGAACTGGAGCTCATGATGGGCGAGATTGACCGCTGCCGCAAGATTTACATGCGATTCCTCGAATTCGACTCGCAGAACTGCGAGACGTGGCAGAAACACGCCATGCTGGAGCGACAAGTGGGCGAGGTGGAGCGAGCTCGAGCTATCTACGAGCTGGCTATTAAACAGCCGGTGCTAGATATGCCCGAGATGATCTGGAAGCACTATATCGACTTTGAGATTGAGAACGAAGAGCGCGAGAACACTCGAGCGTTGTATGAGCGATTGCTGGAACGCACCAAGCACGTCAAGGTTTGGATCAGCTTCGCTCAGTTCGAGGCCTCGTCATTGGGCGATAAGGACACGCAAGGTGAGATCCTGGAGGCTGCGCGTGACGTGTTTGAGCGTGCGTTGCGGTATATGAAGGAGCAGGACGGCGAGGAGCTGAAGGAAGACCGCGTCTTGTGCATGGAGACGTGGCTGGAGATGGAGAAGAAGGGCGGCGACGCTAAGATGATCCAGAAAGTTAGCGACATGTTGCCTCGAAAGGTTACGAAGCAGCGTATGGCGTACGCAGAGGACGGGGTACGTTATCTGCCGGTTATGTTCGAAATCTTGCACGGATGGTTCTTAACGTTGATATGTGCAGACGGAGTTGGGTCTCGAGGAGTACACGGACTACATATTCCCCGACGACGAACAGGCCCAGTCGCACCTCAAGCTGCTGCAAGCTGCGCAGCTCTGGAAGCAGAAGAAGCGCGCACGCGAAGAGGTCGCAGAGGAAGCCACAGACTAACGTTAGGTTGCTGGCAAATTTATCAAACGGTTATGTCACTTCAACGTGTTTTTTGCCGGTGTCTCATCAGCTACTACCTTTCATTTTTGCTAACGAATTTCAAAGGATAAGTACCTTTTACCCACCTCATCTTGAGTCTTCCAGAGGCCCACAAGTGATAAAAGCATGCCTGTTCCTCTGCGATCAATGCTATCTACAGGACGCTGTACACGCCTCCTGCTTTCGTGCGCAGGTTCTTCTCGTAGACCTGCGTCTTTTCTCGTTCTCGGTCCAAGTCTCAGCTCCAGATTCGCTTCGACGGCTCCACCTCGCCACATTTTCGGTGACCCCTCTGTGGGTATTGGCTGTCTGCCTTTAGCACCGGAGGAGACACAGGCGGAGCGTGAGCTGCTCAACTCGCTGCCAGAGTTTCAGGAGGCTGCGCAGGTTCTACTAGGTCAGGGCAGCGATGAAGCGCGGCTGTTGCCCAACCACCTGCGCGCCGAGAAGGCTCTGCCCAAGCTCCAGCGCACAGTGGAGATCTGTCGCTCGACGATGGGCTTCCAGAGTGTGTATCTACAAGCAGCACTGCGTCATCTAGTGTCCACGCTCTTCATGAAGGGCGACGTGGCTGAGGCTACGAAGGTCATGCAGGAACGTGGCGACGTCATGCAGTGGCCAATGGCCGAACACGAGCGAATGTTGCGTCTGCTACTGCGCTCGAATCTGCCTAACGAGGCGAAAGCTTGGTGCAAGAAAGAAGAGTTCACTAAGCAGTTCCCTCGCGACGCAACGGTGCCGCTCAAGTGGACGCTGTACGAGCTCATTGGCACCGAGTTAAGTGGAGGTGCCGAACAACTGGCCAAAGCCGTTGACGACCCGCTATTCGTCCAAGCTGTGGAGACGCTGCGAGAGAAGAAGGATGTGGTATTGAAGCACGAAGAAGCCAGCAACTTGAAAGCCAACGAAGTGCAGCTAGGGCGAGAGATTCCCTACTTGTTAGCTCAGTACGCGTCGCTGTCTGTGGCCAGCTCGCGAGCGCTAGAGAGGGATCCGAAGGCGGACCTTAAGGCCTCCCCAACGGACCAACAACTAGTGAGTCTAAACCAGGCTGAAGTGCTGTATAAGGAAGCACTGGAGTGGGTCGAGAAGATTGCAGCTGAAGAAGGCAAGGACGCGCTGCTGGCGTCAGGACCCAACGCCCCTTTCGGAGCTTGGGTCGAGACGAACATTGGCGAGTTGCTGCTGCGCAAAAACAAGCCTGAAGAAGCGATGGAGTGGCTCGGCAAGGCTCTGAGTACACTGCAGGCCGAACACACTGGCGTTGGAGGCAGCGCTCTTGCTATGACTCGCGTACTTGGCCAGATCGCGAGAGGTAGCCATGTCATGGGCCAAGCTGTGACGAGTGAAGGGCTGTTTGTTACAGTGGTCGAGACGTTTGAGCGCGAGTCAAAGCTTTGTGCCACCGATCGTGTCGAGTTTGCGCGTGTGTTGCGTGCTTATGGCGATCTGCTGTCCAATTGGGACAAGCGCGAAGCTGGAGCTGCGAAACGCTATGCGCAGGCCGAGAAAGTGGAGCACGAGCTGGCAGAAATGTGCAAGGCAAACCAGAGCACCGTCGCGTTGCACCCCATTTTTTATTTGCCGCTGTAAGACGAAGTTGGAATGTGACGTCGGCAGTTTGAGCCGCAGTAAGGAGCTGTCGATGCTGCCCACAGAGTGGAAATGAACTCGGACCTGGAACACTTACTGACAATCTGTAGCTTTGTATCGACAATACTGTAGTTCCTCAGTCCATGTCGACGGCAACGTAGTCGTGACGGTATGGGGGACTCTGAGCGTGTCGACGCGTTGGCTGCACGCCACTTTGAATAACTCGCTCGACTCCTGCCAGTGTAATTGCACACAATAAAAACAAGAACGAGACGCCCATCTAACAAACATTAACAGTTAGACAATGAACACGTTGCCCACAATTGGAACTGATCACGTACCAATAACAGCCATGGCATGACGATGTCAAAACTTGACATTCTCCTGCCTTCTAAGCGAGTTGATAGCAAGAAAAGTGGCGCGACCAACATGAAGATGACGCCCCCTGTAAGCACGGCATCTACTAGTCGATGGGCTGACGTCGAGCTGATGTATTTCTTGATCGGGTACCAGAAGAGGTAGGGCACAAGGATCCACACAGGAGACATGACACGCCACCAGGTAGTACCGTTTAAACTACCGTCAACCTTCATCCCAATCAACAACGCCTGGACGATACGCAGCAACGTTAACGCTGTTTTGCGCGTCACTGCCTTCACCAATAGCTGTCGTTCTGTCTCGATTTCTTCCGTCTGAGAAACACAAGCGCCAACACTGTCGCTCACGAGCATTTGATGCCCCAATACGCCGCCAATAACCACCTCCAACAAGTTAAGAACATCGCACGTAAAGTAGGGTGTCAACACGGCCAGAAGACTCCAGTGCACGACTCCATCCAGCTTCATCACGATGAATATTTGCACCACCAAGAGCAACAATTGCTTACTGAACGTATACAGCTTGCCACTAGAGAACACGAGCGCGAACACCACGCTTCCATAGTAAATAACGTCGAGAATCCATAACGGAGTGAGCACTACCGCCCAGGTGCTCGAGATCAAATTATCCACACGAAGACAGCACAGAACTACAGTAAAAACGTTAGCAGCAGTTGTCGCGTACTCAAACGCAATACTATACTCACTGGGGATCGCTAATACGAAGAAGAAGTGGATTGTTGCAAGCAGTAAAGAGAGACACCGACCGCGAAAGCCGAAGCCTTTCACGGTCTCATAGACGTCCTTCAATACCGCCAAACATATCATTACAATGAGGTTATTTAGGAAATTTATGTAGGGAGACGCGCACCTCGATGCTCCATCCCTGGAAGCTCATGCTGAATGACGAGAAGAGGTTCCGGCGTCGGGAGCTCCGCCACGTCAGTAAATTATGGGTTTGAGTCAAGTCAGTAAATTACGGGTTGGGGTCAAGCCGTTTGACCAGTTTCCCCTATGGTGGTCAATGACCACCATAGGGGAAATCAGTGAAACCTGATTGGCCAGCTTGGGGAGCAGCTGGCCAACGGCTCCGAAGTACATGTACTACGTATTTTAATACGTTTAGAAATTGTAAATCAAAGCTACTGCATCAAAAGGCTTTTGCTATTCACAGTTCTTTTTTTTATCAATAAAAGTACGCAAATCCTGCATTAAAGGCAGCAACTTCACTCACTTGTGGCTCTTGGGATCCGTCAAGCTCGCCACGACTTCGGCAACGGAAGCTCGCAGCACATTGTTTGGTATTAGTTCCATCGGGGTTTGGCCTTCTCGGTCTTCAGCAGTGAGGTTGGCGCCGTGCTTCAATAGTTTTTCCCACATAACTGGGTACATCGCTAAGCGTGCAGCTTGATGCAGCGGTGTATCACCGAAGCGATTGCGCAGATTCACATCTGCACCAGTTGCTAGCAGAAGATCCACGAGGTCGAAGTCGTAGCGACGCATAGCGCAATGCAGTGGCGTAGCTGTCGCTGTGTTCGCAGCGTTCACATCGGCGCCAAATTCAATCAACAGCTTGGCCATTTGCAGCTGCACAGACTCCTCCTCCTCTTCGCTGTCACTAACGTTCTCATCCATATCCGACGACGACATCGCGGCAAGTAGCAACAGTGCTGTATTACCCTGAAAATCCCTCGCATCAGCATCAGCCTGTCCCTCTTCCAGCAGCAGCTTGGCCATCCTGAATTTTGCCTTGCTCACCGCCATGTGCAGCGGCGTCGTGAGTCTCCTATTGCTCAGATTTGCATCCGCTCCCATCTCAAACAACACTTTGGCAACTTCCACTTGACCACCGTCTGCTGCGTAATGCAGCGCCGTGTTAAAAAGTGAATCTCCGACGTTCACGTCTTCCCTCACACTGGAGGCATTGAGCACCTCCAGCACATTCATAGCGCGGTATTTCGCTGCAATGTGCAACAACGTGCTGCCCACTGGGTCCGTTCCAGATGCGTCAGCTCCATGCGCTAGAAGAACTTTAAGCATTTCTGCCTCATCAGCCCGAGCGGCGTCAAACAGCGGCTTCTCGCTGTGACGCACGTCCGAGTTCAAGTCGGGCTCATAGCTCAGCACGAAGCCCAATACCGACAGCTGATGACTGCGCAGAGCTGCTGATAATAGTCGTCTCCAAAAGAGCTCCGAGATGTGCTGGGCGCCCTGAGGTTGGCTCAAAAGGGCGGATAGCAGCAGCTCCGCCACTTCCACATGGCCATGCTCTAGCGCCTGTTCGCACGGCGTCTCCCCAAAGAAGCGGTTGGTCAGCACTGCGTCGACCTCGGCGCCCTGTTGTAGAAGACTGGCCACTCGGCGCTCATCCCCTGAGGCACTGGCAGCTAATAACGAAGACGCAGTGTCCTCCAGTGCGTTCTCACGGCCGTCACTCCAGTGCTGGATCAGCGCCATCCTTGCGCTTCAACAATGAACCCATTTCTGAATCCACCCAAAGATTCTGATTCCATAGTCTCAGCTTCTGATTGGGTGTGATTGGATTTGTATACAGTGTATACACAATTATCGCCACAGGGAGGATGCCCAAGCTTTTGCTGTGCGGCGCCGTGCAAGGCCACTGGGAGCTGCTATTCGAGCGTGCTCGTAAGCTGAATGCTACTGCAAAGGACAAACCATTCGAGGCGCTCGTGTGTGTGGGTCGTTGCTTCCCACTGCCTGTCGACTATTTGACTGGAGGCTCAAAGCACACGCCGCTGCCCACGTATTTTCTACCAGCGCATGAGACGGCGCGTTCGTGGCAAGAAGACGCCAAACAAACAAAGGTTTTCGATCAATTGAACGCCGTGGAACAACTTTCGGGGCCTGTGGAGGTTGGCGAGGGCTTCTTCTGTCTGGCAGGCGCTGGAGTTGCAACTGTAAGTGAACGATTGACAAAGAGACTGGTGGAGCAGATCGATTAACGATATTTACTGGCAGATCGCAGGACTGAAGGTGGCGTATGTGTCGGGCACGGAGACGCAGGGACAAGAGGATGAGAAGGGGACGCTGCTGACGTACCCGAAGGATTCGCTTAATGCACTGACACAGAAGCTTCTTGCAAGTGGTGATCAGGGAGACGTGGACTTCTTGTTCACGGCGGAATATCCTGCAAGTTTCCAGCTTTTGTTACCGGAGCAGCAACTTCCTCATGGTTTGCAGGCGATGCGTGGCAGTGCGCCAATCAAGGAGCTGGTGCAACAAGTGCATCCCAAATATCACATCACGAGTCGCGGAGGGGACGGCACTCGCGGGGACGTTTTCTACCAGCGCTTGCCGTATGTGAGCGAAGTGACTGGCACCGGACGGAAGCAAGTCACGCGTCTCATCGGTCTCAGCGGTGTGAATAAAGTCAAGGACAAGACGCGCAAGTATCTGCACGCCCTGCAGGTCGTGCCGTTTGCTCTACAAAGCGCAGATGAACGCAACACGTGGATATCCCTGCAGGCACGACACAGAACCCATATCTCACGCTATGCTGGACGAAGCCACCCGGACAGGAGAACCCGACGCAAAGCGACGGAAAGTCGACCCCGCTGCGACTGGGGGCCTCTCTGTCGAGCAGATCGAGCAGCTCACAGCGAAAAGCCGAGGCGACGCGCAGTTCTTCTACGACCAGAGACTGGCAGCTAAAGGCCAACGCAAAGGCGGCTTACTCCCAGGTCAGAATAACCAGCAACGAAGGAATACTCGCCCGCCGGTGGAGGATCGTACCGAGTGCTGGTTCTGTCTGTCAACGCCGACACTGGAGCGTCATTTGATCGTGAGTATCGGTCAGGAGGCGTATCTAGCGATGCCTAAAGGTGCAATCTGCGGAGACCACGTGCTCATTGTGCCGATTGCACACGAGGAGTCCACTCTTAAGCTCAGTGACGATACGTGGCGAGAGATGGAGCGCTTCAAAGCGGCATTGCGACGTTATTTCGCTTCGCAAGACAAGGAGATGCTGGTAATCGACCGCAACGTGGCCACACTGGGCGCCACGCACTGCCACCTGCAGGTCGTGGGCGTGCCGAAGCACAAGGCTGGCGCTGCTCGCCGCGTCTTTGAGACGGAGGGCGAAAGATATCACGTCAAATTTCACGAGTTGCTACAAGATACCGACGAGAAGACAGACGCTGCAGCGTCGACGGGGCCATTGGAGCTGCTGCGTCGACAGACTGACGGTAAGCCGTTCTTGTACGCAGAGTTGTCTGATGGCAATGGAGGCTCGACACAGCTACTGCATCACGTTGAAGGCAAACACTACGTCCAGTTTGGTCGTCACGCGGCGGCGTGTTTGCTGGAGATGCCGCGACGCGCCAACTGGAAGTTCTGTGTGGTGCCCTAAACTTGAAGAGGAGAAACTCACTCAAACATTCAAGAGCCAATGGAAAGCGTACGACTTCACACTCGAAGAGGAGGAGGAAAAGTGATTGTATTGATACGGAGCTGGTTTACTACTGCTTCGATAGCTTAGGGGTCGATAATATAGAAATACGGCGGCGCATTTGACACGTTGCGCGCATGGGCTTCTCCCATTCTTCTCTCACGTCAGACGATCGCTTCATTTCTTCTCGCCGAACACGACGTTCCAGATGTCGGTTTTGCTCTGTGAGGCAGCTGTGGGGTAATTGATTTTCTTGGCAGATCCCTCAGCGGCAGCGGGGGATTCTTGTAGGGCCTCGGCGATCTGCTTCTCGTAGTCCACGCCGTAGATGTCGCACCAAGCCTTCTCGCCCTGCGAGACCTGTGGAATGTTCGTCTTGCTCGAGGACGAGGTAGCGGGCGTCTGCTGTAGTACGCGAGCAGGAGTGGACGAGCTGATGCAGCGAGCAGCCTTGGGTAGTCGGAGTGAGGTGCGAGCGAGCATGATTATTGTTGCTGTAGTTGGGACGTTGGAGTAACGTCTGGTTGCCTTCTGTCGAGTAAATTGCAAAGTGAGCCAAGAGGAAGTTGCCGCGCCTCCAATACAAGTGATGAGCGGTCGTCATACAGATACGCAAGCAGCTCTCCGGAACGAATACAAGCGCAATACTTAATGATAGAGGTTATATATTCTGATATGCAAGCCACTTAGTCAAAGTCACGTGAAAGCATATCTAGTCTGTGAAGATATGATCAGATTGGAGCGGCAGCAATCTCATTGACGAAACGCCGTTTCGTGTCTCTTTGCATGTTGCAGTTCTATTGGAGACAGCGGGTAGGGGTTTAAACTTCCGCCCTGTTTATGAGTATCTACTTCTTGCTTTCAGTAAGAATTACTCACTAATTTTTAAATTAGGTAACCGTTTTTCTGACGATCTTCACTCGAAACATGTTGATTTGGTTAAACTATGCTTGGACAAGTCTTGCGTTTCGTAAGGCAAAGTCCGCCAGCGTACTTCAAGTAAAGCAACGCCCCTCCGTGACGCAGGCGACTTGGTCGCGCACCGAGAGCTGCAACCCGCCACAATTCGACTCCAACATCTTGGAGTCCAAGAGGCCTGGCAAAGCTGGCTCAAGCCGATCGAAGATTGGACATCATTAAGGCATAGATGGAATCCTTAAGAGAGGTAGCCCTCGATGCCGGAACGCTCGGCTATTCCGACCAATCAACGGAAAGTGGCACTTTGCGGTGGTGGCGGTAAATGTCTACATGTTTATTTGTGCGGCCATACAGAAATCGAGTCACAACTCGGAAAATGCTTGTGAACGGCGCTCAGCTAGGGTGACGTGTTCGTCTCTCATTATTACCCAGCAATCGAAGCCAACGGTTACCCAGTAATCGAAGCATGGTTCTCATGATGCATGTCGCTCTTCACCCCAAAAAGGCGATTGCAAGATTCTGATTCCGCAATCGACTTGTTTGGATGCAACACGTTGCGATTCCAACGAATACATGTACAGTCGTGCACCTCCAATTCGGCACCGGTATCAGTCGATACCCTGCATTTTATGATTACGCGAATCGGATGCGCAATTACCTTTGCCCATCACCACCCTAGCAATTCACCTCAGCGATTCCCCTCCTCGCCGAGGGATGACACGCCGCATGGGCAATCTGATTTTAAATTTTGGATCGGACGTCTTCATACAAACACACACTTTGATTTTTACCGCCAAAGACAATGGGACATCGCCCTTCCTCCTACATGTCCCACAAAAGCAGTCTTTGTACGAGAAAGCACAAGTCAGATCCTGCATGCTCTCACTCCGAACTTGCTCGTTGGGCAACGGAGCGCTTTAAGACCCCCCGAGCAGTAAAGCGCACTACCGTCCAGAGTATTCTCAAGCGGTCCGCGGAAGTTGCCGCCTTGCCGGACTCCAATCGCGACCGGAAGCGCTGTTGCGCGCCCGCGATTCGCGCGTCTGACGCCAAGATTATGCAGAAGATTGGCGTAAATTTTGTACTGAATTAACAAATAAAATATCAGTGCACTGGATTTGCGTTTGTTTTTTGCTGTACGTTGTGCACTTATGCTCTGGCACTGTTGATATGGTCCGCCCTGCCGAATTGGAGGTGCACGACTGTATCGAGCTGGTTCAGATCAAAGTCATATTTTTTGCACTACAGTAAATCCCATCTGACTCTGGCGAGCGTGGCACAAATGCAGAGCGACCATCTCCCTGAGCAATCGTCCGCCTAGCGCTTCCAGGTGGTCATGCAGCCGTCCTGAGGACGCAGACTCGGCAGCCGCACGAGCTTCTGGCCGATAGAGTTGCCCTTCTTGACCAGCACGCTGAACACGCCCACACAGATGAGCAGTGTGAGCAGTACCGAGCGGAACAGCCTCTCAACCATGTAGTTCTGGCCGCCACTACGGTACGTTTCCACGAGGAAGAAGGCAAACACGACTCCCATGATCTTGGTCAGCACGGATTCGAGCGTCTCGCCCTGCGTCTGGAACGGCGACGGCTTACTGCGCGAGACTGTGAAGCGTCCCAGCAGCAGATCCAGCACGTCCTGTCGATATCCGTCCATGAAGTTGTTCTTGATGTACCGCATGCACGAGTTGTAGCCATCCATAAGCGCCCCCTTCTTGGTGCGCTTGCCAGTACGCGTAAAGTCCGTCTTGAGCGCACCCGTGCCGGCGTAGAAGATGCTGATCGCGTCCGCGTTGTTGCCCCACACGCGCTTAAACGTGCGTTCGAAGTCCTCAAAGGGCGAGCTGAGCACATTTCCTTGCAGGGCTTCGGTCTCATTTAGCTGCAACATTAAACTACGTCGACCAAAGAGCGACTGGCAAAAAAACACAAATAACAAACGCTTAGCGTATTATTCCAGCGTAAAATACACGCAAAGATCTCACCTGGACGACGTTGGTGCGGTCTAAGTTGTCCATGCAGTTGGTGCGCACCACTCCGGACTGTTTGTTCACGACAGTTCCATCTGCGTTCTTGCAAAAATACCTTACAGGACAAAAAAATTAGTCGCGTTTAGCACCAATGTAACCCTCTATGGCGTTATTTAACGTACCCGTGATCAAGGAAGTCATCGTCGACCTGTTTAATCAGCTTCTGCAAGTTTACCCACTTCATGTTGCGGCATTCGTGATGGAAATCGAACCACACGAGACGCACAGCGGCGAGAATGTGCGAGTCTTTAGTGGCAGCCTCGGCCACCGTCTTGGCCAACGCCTCGCCCAGTTTGAGCTGTTCCTTCTTCTTGTCGATGAGATTCACGAACAGCACACGACCGTAGAGCGCCATCAACTCGTACGCGTGTTTCTGGAAGGCGGCCACGTCGCGCTCCACGTCGCCAGCGTGGTACACTTTGGGCGCGTACTTCATGGTGACCGGCGAGCTCCAGAACACGGGGATGGAGCCACGAATCTGCACGAACGACGTCTGTTTGCCGTCTTCAAATAGACAAATCTGCTCCGTCTCGACGAAGTTTGCCACGTTGCCGTCGTCGTCGATGCCACGCATTGTGAAGCGCATTCCCTGGCGTTTGCACGATCTTCGCGAGATGTACAAGATACGGAACGACTTGTCCTTCACTTGGAGTTGTTCCGTCAGCTCCACATGAGCCTGCACCATCGGCGTTACCCACTCGAAAAACTTTTGCTCTGTTTGCGACACAATAGCAAAAAAGTATTAGTGTTACTAGGGTAAAAAATGTCTATAAGTGAACGTACCGATGAAAGGCAAGCAGAGCGATTTGTTCCAGAAGAAGCGCTCGTCCGCACGCTCCGCGATGCTGCCGATTTTGCCATCAAACGCAGCAATTCCTGCATTTGACAGCAACAAACATCAGAAGGTGTGTCCTCTTGTTTCTATAGAGTTCCATTCCGTACGCTGTAGTGTGTGCGTGAGGTCAAAGTCCTTGGAAAAGTGCAGTTTCTGAGCCTCAATGTCGTTTGAGATCATGTCGATGTACATGCGCTCGTCCTGCTCCTGTTGTGGCGTAAGTATCGGCAGGTTTTGTGTCGGAATAAGCAGCAACTCGAGTTTCTGCACGAGGCGGATCTCGGCGTCCTTTACGCCTCTGGCCACCACCTTGGACTGCGTCACTACAGCCAGATACGGCCCGCGCAGCAACCAAAACACGCCGTAGATGGCGTCAAATGCCATGCGTCGGCCGTGCACGTGCTGATTATCCTCGACATGCTCTACACTGAGCCCCAGCGACGCGTCTGTGGAGGACAAGCGCGGGATCTGCAGACTCAGCGGGTGTACAGGGTGAAGCACCACTAGGAAGTCGTCCTGCACCACCAGCTCATAGTGTTTCTTCTTGTCGGCGGGCGGCATTGTCACGACAGTATCAGAACGAAGTGACACTGACAAAAACTCCAGTTGCTAAAATTGAGCGGCGTGTTCACAAGGATACGAAACGGAGCTATCCGAACAGTATGTATACTTCGAGGTTAAGATGTATACAATCGATTAAGTGCGATAAACTTCAACTTCATGCTGCCGACACATGTACTGTACTGTACCACGCACCTCGTCTCAAGCAACGAATGTGTGCAAGTGGGGAGACGACAGACGAAAGTTATGCGGCGTGGGGCTGTCGCGATAGTCGCTGTGGTGCAGCCCTCGTGTCGCCAAGGACTCGAACCCGCCGGCGGCAGTCACACTCAGCAGCGTTTGGCTTTTTTCCAGTTGCTCCAGGATCGCCTCGCCTTCGATCTGTTGGTGCCGCATCCAAGCAGCTGCAACTTCGTCTCGTGTCTGTAGTCCGGGTTGGATGACAAAGTCATGGAGCATACTGCCGGCCAATGCGCCTAGGCATGGTCCGAGCAAGTAGATCCAGCAGGATTCGGGTCGGTCACCCGGTAATGCAACAGCTCCCCAGCCTGCAATGGCAGCCACAATGCGAGGTCCAAAGTCTCGTGCCGGGTTCAAACACGCCTGTGTGAGTGGTGTCATTACCATTGTCAATGCTGCCACAGCTGTACCAACGTAAAGCGAGGCCAACGGGTTCGAAGGCATTCGGGGCAACAAAATATCGTTATTATCGTTTGCTCCTGATGCAGTTGAGCCCGTAAATGCAGCGACACCAGTAGGTTGCGCAGGTTGACGGACAGCTCGATGGACTAGAACAAAAATCAGCGTTCCCAGCGCCTCTAAGGCAAATGCAGCTCCAGCAGAAACATCGCTCTTGGACCAGAAACTTGACTCTTCAGCTTTACCATACACTAGTTGTGGATGCGGGAATGAGGCCCCAAAGGCAACAGCTGAGATGGCAGAATTCGGAGATCCCCGATTAATCTCCAACCGGTCCTCAAAGCGGTGGATTGCCGATCCAAACATTAGGTACACGGCAACTCCGGCGAATGTCGCACCGAGCAATTGAAAAAGCATGTACACAGGAACTTTTCGCTTGGGGAAACCACTGTGAGGTGACACGGCAATCGCTAGAGTGACGGCCGGGTTCAAGTGAGCACCGGATCCGGGTGACGCGATGAAAGTTGCGAGCGTTGCAGCAAACCCCCACCCAATTGCAGCTTGTTGGACTGCCAAATCCGATGAATCTTGACTTGCAAAAGCAGCAGTGGCAATACTTGCAGTGCCTAAAAACACAAGTACGAATGTCCCTACGAGTTCTGAGGCGCATTCGAAAGCCAATGGCCGAAGTGTTGCGAAAAGCACGTTGCTATCCATGGAATCGGAGCGTCAGTGCCTGATAGGTATGTATTTGAGAAGTGCACGCTGCAACTGCAGTAGATTATTAATGTCGTCTAGAGCAGGCTGCTGGAGCTCTCCAGTCTTTCTCGAGCAACGCCATAGCGCCGTCCAAACGGTTTCTATCGAGTAAATAAACCGTCGCCGGTGCCAAGTTAAGACTATCGCTGGTGCTCGACTCCATGGCCTCTTGTGTGCAACAAAGGACAGGCGACTTGCACTTGCTAGACATGTAAAAACTATCAGGCAAACAGCAAGAGTGAATGTCGTTTGGACTCGTCGAAAGTTCAGACGGAGCCTGTGATCACGCGTCTGTTGATCCTTTCGACGCTGTAACGGAGCTCGCTGACTGCACGTAGCCAAACATTTTGCTGCCTAGGAACGTCAGATAAGGCTCCACGTTCGTCCCCTCCTGTGGTAAGAAGTTACGGCCGTCCCAATAGGCCCGTCGAGACCAGCCTGCGAGTTGCGTACATCGAAGCAGCAAGTGACCGTCGTCTTCCGTCACTGTGTCCACACGACATAACAGATGCGCCACACAGTCCCGAAGAGCGACACTTTGAGCTGCAATGCTTGCAATTTCCTGTCGCGCCAGCTCCTTCAATTTCTGCTTTTTCTTGTGCGCTTCAGTTTCATGGGAGTCTTTTGCAACATTCTGAAAGTCTTCACCTCCTGGGGCGCAGATTGGAATGTTGAGTTGCTCGAACTTGTCCCCGTCGCTCCCACTACTACTGCCAATTGCCAAAACAAGCTCCTCCATGCCTCTTGACCGGCACGTTTAGTACTTTGTTGCAACAACCCGTGAAAATGGTAAAACGTTAATGAAAGATCGGAAACTTCAATATAAAAGACAAGCAACTGACCAAAGACGGCTCCCGATTGGTTCATGAAATTGGCAGTGTATCGAGTGGCATTCATGGAGCAAATAAACCCTCCCTGTCGTCGAACCACAAAACCCCATCAGCAAATGTGAGCGTGTCTAAGGCAAATGCGGTAAGGCAAACGAAACACACCTGGTTGTTGATGGCCGTTATCCATGTGATAGTCATGAGGCTGCGGTCATTGCCATCGCTGCTGAGTACCGAGAGCAAACACACTGGATTCGGGTACAGCAACCGCGAGAGCATGCACTTGTCTACTGCCACCCAGTCCATTGACGATGGCATCGTAATTGTCCACAAGTGACTTGGATTCACTATGCTGTGTGCGGCTTCGTAAGGTCGCCACTGAATCGCAAGTAAAAGGGCCAAATTTGGATTCGCGCTGATTTGATTGGCTGTCCGCTGTACCTGATGCACAAAGCCGGTCCGAAACGGCCTTACCCATCCCCCGTCAATTCGCACTTAATCGAAACAGGTGCCAAATGAGACCCCCTTGACACCAAGAACTTTACTTCAGAGGCGCCGATTACAGGGAAGACTCGACAAGCAACTTCTGGTCTACCACGTAGTCATGGCGCCCGGCAAGAAGAAGGTGGCCAGCATGGTCTATTATGAGCTGATGGGTATCGAGGCGGACGCTACACCAGAGCAGATCAAGAAGGCGTATCGCAGGAAGGCGCTGCAGCTCCATCCAGACAAGCGCGGCAACACGCCCGAGTCGCAGGAAGAGTTCACACGCATGAAGCAGGCGTACGACGTGCTCTCAGACCCCGCAAAAGCGCGAAATTTACGACCAGTACGTTGCTGTTCCGGTTGGTTTTTTTTCCATTATTTGGCCCACTTTCTTTCTCTGTGTCGCCAGCCTATTATATTTCCCCCTCAATGTCTTGCCACTGCATATACTCCACAATTTATGTGTTGATATATGCCATTATATAGATTGTGAAGATGCATCAAACTCATGGAGGACTACGGCAACATGAGTCCCGAGGAGATGTCCATCCTGCTGTTCCGCTCTATGGGCGCGTTCGGCGCCAGAGGCAAAGTGTGTTCTCATTCTTCTAGTGTCGCTGCTCTTCGCCTTCTTCCTGCTCATCCCCAGTACGACTGGCAACTTCCATTTCTTATTTATGGCAACTTTTTTTTGTTTATACCACATTCTCACTAAATTGTCAATTTGTGTATGCATCAGTTTTCTGGTGTCTCCGTGCGGACTCCACCATCTCGTGGAACTGGGCTGTGGTCTGCATCCCTCTCTGGATCGTGGACGCCATTTATTACTGCTGCTTGGGCTGCATGCTCGCGTCCTCGGACCCTGGAGCGGACCCCGACGAGAAAGTTACGGAGAAACCGGCGCTCTACAAGCTCTACGCGTTCCTCAAGGCGCTGCTACTACTCGTTCTGCAGGTTTTCTTAGCCCTCAAGCTCAATGGAGACTTGAGCTGGACTCTCATCGAGGTGTTGATCCCGTACTTTGTGTACGACGGTCTCAACCTCCTGGAAGCTCTCGCTGGAGGCCTACTGGGCTACAAAATGCTCACCAAGAACAGCGAAGGCGCTGGTGTGTCACACACAGAAGACATCAAGAAACAGCGCTCAATTCTCGTGGTGGCAGTGCTCAGGAAGGTGATTTTGAATCTCGCGCGTGTCACACAAGGTGTGCTGGTAGGGCTCAAGGTGGACGGTAGTCTGGACGCCAGCTGGTGGGTCGTGTTCGTCCCCGTGTGGCTCTACGTCGCGTTCTTCGTGTCGTTCCCCATCAAGAAATATATCCGCGCTAAGGCCAAGGCGAAGGAGCCCAAGGCGAGCTCTCCTAGACCGCAACACACACACGACGCGTACACCCGCGAGTCGGTCACCGAGGAAGAAGACGAGGCCGTGTCCAAGTTCCCGCTACTGGACGCTTTGTGTACGATTCTTGTCATTGGAGCGCTCACGTCGCCGTTTTTCATCCTGTCGGCGAGGCTTCAAGACGGCTCCTTTTCCAGTATCTACGTGCTGCTGCCGTGGCTCATTGTGGTGCGTTAACGAACGCCTTCTCGAGTTTGTTATGAACCTTGTTACTGATATGTTTCTATTCCACCAGGTCGGACTCGTGTTTTGCTTTATTTGCTGCGCGATCTCGTGCGTCAGCTTCAACGACCCCGAGGACGGCGGTGTACCGGACCAGCCAGCACCGGAACACTCTCGGAGCTCCCCATCGGCGGAGGAAGGTGCGGCTGCACGTGCAGATTACGTGTCTGTGGACATGGATTGAGCGCACGGGAGCGCAGTGGGCAGCGTTTATGGCTGTAGACCATAAACGCGCCTTCTGCTAGGTTTGCTTACGATCGCTAGTTTATTAATGGATCGATTTTGTGGTGTGTTGTGGGTTTACACTGCAGTCGTGTGATGCACGGGTAGCTATTGTGCAGTGTCTTCGGTCCACGTCGAGTCGTGATGCTGAAGCCAAGCGAAGAGCCTGCCACCATATTCAGCACTGTGCTGTAGACTTAACTTGAGTCATCACTGGCTTCAGGACATTTTTCAGTGCGGTCGCAATATCTAAGTAGGAACATTGGACGTTTTTTTCTTCTGCCATGAGGTATTATTACATACTAATCTCGTTCACCAAGTGTACGCACTAAAAACTACTTGTACTACGTAGTTCCAGCTTAAAAACTAAAGCCTCCGGCATCTCGTCGCTAAGAAAAACGACTATAGTGTAGTAGCTACCGGTACAGGATATCCATTATGTATATTCGCTCCAAAGCAGGGGTACGTAAAAAGCAATGCTATGGCTATAAGAATGGCCACAATTTATGGTCAGTATATATGGCATCGCGAAAAGTAAGTCGATAACCATAGTAGTCAAGTACAAGGTGTAAAGTTGTATCTCCAGCTGCTTTAAGTGTCTCCTATCCATGTGCAACAACGTAATATGTTACCAATAACAGTGCATTGAAAATGTGTGTCTAGAGGTGATCGTCGATGATGTCTCTCCGTCACACTCTCTGTTGTGTATAAGGTGCATGTCAGGGATTTTGGGGTATCCCCATTACGGACTATGGGCCCATAATGGATGGAGCTGATTTTGCCCTTTCCATCAATACTACATAACCATGTGCGGACCCCTGCTCCAAAGGCTAAGAGCGTAAGACCAAGCGCACACAGGTCTCGGACATCACTGGCAACGCGCTGTTCTTCCTTTTTTTTTAGCTGATTAAAAAAAGAAATACTCCTGGAGTACAAAACGAACTGTACTCCAGGAGGTTTCTTTCTAAAATTGTTTACTTTGCTCGGGCACTGACTTACAAATAGACGTATTAATAAAGAATGTGGCCTTGGCGAAAACGTCAACCCCATAAAACACTCAAAATTCAGCTACCGGTAAATTGGTTAGGCCTGACAAAAAAAACGAAGTACCTAAAAGTACTTTTTAGGAAACGGCTTATTTTAGTAAAAAGCAAGTTCCACATAAATCCCGTCTCCCTAGATTCAATTGAGTTGAGAAAACGTAAGATGCAATCGCCGACGTTATGGGGGAGACTTTTGATTGGATGAAAAAGTTATTTTAACGCTGAGTCGTGCACTAGAAAATTTACTCTTCATCACGCACTGACGAGCTCCCTGTAGCACAGGTACTATTGCTGTGGCGCGTGCGCCGCTTCCGGCGCCTAAGTGGCCGCCCACATATGCCATCCGGACTTCTCTGCTCCTGGCCGGCTTCCCTGATGAGTCTTAGTACTGTGGTGAGCTTGATTTAAGCATTTCTCCGTTTTCGTTTGCTTGGCTTTACCTCCAGTGTGTTGTACCCAATCTTAAACAGCTCGATGGCATGAACTTCGTCACGGATGGCCGGCATCGGTTTTCCAAGGTCTTTTTCAATCCCGTTTATGATATGCCGCATCATAACTGACCACTCTGACAGTGTTGCTTTCTTTTGTGGCGTGTCCAGATCGTCCGATGGTATACCCTTGTATGGTGGATAGTTGAGCTCCGGATTGCCGAACCACCACAGTATCCACGCCCCCAGCGGATCGATACTTGGAAAGGCGAAGTCTTTTGGAAGCACGTGAAATTTCCCACCCCATGTATGATAATAGCGAGTTTGTGCTGTCAATAAGGTTGATAAGGCCGCGGATTTCTCTTTTTGAAGCCCAACCTCTTCTAATAACGCTAGTATTTCTTCATGCAAAAGGTCTCTCGTTATATTACCCGCTGCCACACCTTTCTTTTCCAATATCGCTTCCATTCTTTGCTCAAGTTTATCAGGAAGTAAGTCGATAGACTGCTGCTGCTTATCAAGTTTTTTGTAGAGCTCAATGTAGGGCGGAATACCTGTCGGGTGCATCCAGCTTGAATCCCCAAGTTGAAGTTGTTCTTGTAGGCTGTGAAAAGCGTTTACATTCGTAAATACTATTGTCGAGAGCAGAGGGTGGTTTGTTGGTATATAATGCTGTAAATATTTCCTGTGAAAAACCAGCGACGCCAGACATAACTGTAAAATGCCATTTAAATTAGGTTCACCCGCAAGACTCGGAAAAACCGTTCTCAACACTGATGTTGTTGTGCTATCACCGGTGGCCTTAAAATGTGGCGGTAGTGTAGCAAATTTTGAATCGTTTATAGGTAGCTTAGCAACGACGCGACCTAAAAATTGGTCTCCTGCTGCTTCGCAGCGGATATAGCGATCCTGAACTCCACCAAGTGACCAACCACAGCATAAACAAACACTCACAATTGAAGGACCCCCAGTACTTCCACCGCACGCAAATGTCGCGACACCTTTTCGTACCGAGTGAGTACCATAGGTTTTTGCGGAGCCATCGAGCTTTAGAAGACTACCCAAATCCTTACTAAATCGAAGCTTCTGGTTGGGCCCTGGGAATAGTGGCCCCTGTTGCAATCTCGGGTGGCACGCCAAGTAAATTTCGAGCGCTGTTACCCAGCACGTAGAAGGACTTAGCGGATTCGCGTAAACGTGACGAGGATCACGCGGCCCAGTGCCTTCCTGATTCGTTTTTGTCTTGACAAATATTACACCAATGCCATCGTCTTTAGCCACAAAATGCTGAGTTTGTACGGTTTGAACAGATATTGATCTGCACATTAAATTCCATTGGGATGTTAGGAAGTCATGATAAAAACCTCCATCACCAAGTTCCAAAATTTCTTTACAGAGTTTCTGGTAAAGCGAGTAGGTCAATGGCTGCTTCCCAGACGTCTTCGGGTTGCTAATCTGGCCACTATCAGCCTCCATGCGCTTCATTCCCGAGAAAAGCTGTATCATTCCATCTCCATATTCAGGCGGCAAAGCTAGACGCCTCACTCTATACAGGTCCTTAATTGCACTCCGATAACCACTTAGTGTCCCAGCTTTCACATCACGGCTTTAGTAAACAAGAAACTGCTCAAAATACGGAGGCGTGAACTCCATTAGATTAAGTTCACCACTGCTGTCAAAGAATCGATACGTGTTGTGGTCGACTTTAGCAAGCTCTTTGCGAATCCACTTTGCAATGCCGTTCAAGCTACTCTTGTACTTCCCTCGTGTTTCCCTGGTAACGCAGGCATCTCGGATTGCCTCCACGTCAGCTACAGTCATCCCGCAGGCCGCGCTTTCGCTAATCTGTTGCGCGCTTCCTTCACTCATTTTACAGTGGCTTCTGGGTAGTTTTTGATCAATTTAGGCCAATTGGAACAGCGTGTTATCGTAAGACGATTCCACTTACGATTTGTTGGAAACTCGGGATGACAAGGCGTTGTTTAGTGAGCCTGTCAAAATACGAGTAAGAATATTTCTTTTTGATAAAATGTAAGTGGTCAGCGCTTACAAATTGACGCGAAACTCAATATATTACTTATAAAAGTACAGGAATCTATTTTCTTGCAAAGTACATTGGCCAACAGTCGCTCTTGAGATGAATAGCACCGAGAAAATGCTGATTTCATTGGGAGTCTGGCGGTTGACGTATGCGTGGCCAGCTCTCCGCTAATAGCTAGCTACACCTTACAAGCACAACCATGATGAGCATGAGCACAAAATTTAACAATAAAGTCCTGACTATTAATAGGCCTCCATTTCTGGGCAGCTTTACATTGCCCCAGATTAATAAAAATAGTTTCTTGAAATATGGATGAAATTTTAATCTAAAAAAAAACACTTTTGAGTTTGTTTTTTTTTTATAGAAAAAGAATCAAACCGTTCATCAAAAGAATTCACATCCAATTTATTGACTTACTTGGTGTCCGAGTCGGACCAGAATTTAGGAGGATAATACCCTACGTATTTAGACATCCAACGTTGAAGTAATGACCACGTTGGGGTCCCCCAAGACATCAGTGGTAGGCTCCACGACTTCCGTAGTGGGTTCGGGGTCCTCCACTACTTCAGTTGTTGGCACGGGGTCTTCCACGACGTCAGTGGTAGGCTCAGAGATGTCAGTAGTAGTCACGGGGTCGTCTAGCACATCGGAGAAATGAATTGTGTCGTTGGAATTGTCGACGTCATCGGTGCTCGTGCTACTCCACGAACCCGATTCCGAGGAGCCCCAAGAACCGGATCCCGAGGAGCCCCAGGATCCACCATAGTACGAGCTCGTATCATTCGTGTAGCTCGGCTCGGGGCAACCGAAAACCAGCTCCATCTCCTCCCGCCACGACGCGTACTTGATCGTCTCGTCACCGCTGAGAATGGCGTCCACGATGATCTTGCAGCGCGGCGCTGTCACCTTCCAGATCGCCTTGAACTCTGGCGTGTAGTCCATCGTACCACCCAAGCAAACGTGCTCAAACATGCAGGCTTGACGTTCGAGATCGTCCATGTTCTCCTGCGTGTCACCTCCCATAGAATCAAGCGTTTCCTCGTACCAGTCCACCACCTTCTTCTCCGAGTCTTCAGAAACGTACGCGTCTCTTGGCGTGTTCTCATCGATCGGGTTGCCCGTGTCGTCGATGACCACAACGTCTTGGTGGCCGTCATCCTGACCGTAATAATCTGTCTCCGGGTAGTTGTTCTGTGACGCGTAGTCGTTTCCGTCTTCATCGTAGCCATCGTCTTCAGTCACACCGCACATAGCAGGGTGGGACGTTGAGTTCGTTTCCGCCAACTTACGCGATCTCGGGGACGCGTCACACTGAGTGTACATGGTCGCCACTTGGCCACTGACGTAGTATCCGTAGCTGCTCGAACCCAAGTCACGGGTATCCATTAGACCAGCGAACTGGTTGGGAACGCCAGTGAAGAACCGACCGACGCGAGGGTCGGTTGAAGCTTGGATCGGATTGATTCCTCGCTCACCCGTACGCATCGTCACCACATCGGTCGGTCTGAACGCGACACTCGAGTCGCGACGAGCGCACGAAGTCCAAGCCACCGGGTGCGACGCCTTCTGAGCGAAGGTCAATCGTGTCGTTCCAACACGGCACTTGTGGAAGATGACGTGCAGCAAGTCGACCATAGCGTGGTGCGACCAAAAGAGCGGCTCAGCCGGGGAAGCGAACGTCCCCATCGTGCTGCCCAAGTTGGCGTGTACATTGTTGTGGCAGCCTTGCTCGACCAACGGAGACATTTGGCCGATGTTTGTTCCGCTGAAAACCTGGTTTCGGACAGCCGCGTAACTGGTCGATGAAGGCACGCGAACGGTACTCCAGTCACTGCGAGGGACGCACCGGGCACAGGCAGCACCCGTCGTGGAGGTGAGTTGGCAGAAGCGGTCAAGTGGTGACACGTTGACACAGCGACCGGAGTTGTTGATACCGTTGATTGCCAGTGTGCGTACCGTGCCACTCGTCCATCCACCGAGCTCCCGGGCGATGGCCGAGCAGCTTCCTATAGACGAACAAGCACCCGAGGTGACACGAGCACTAGCAGTGATCCAGTTGAAGTAGGGCACCGTCACACAAGCGTAGGCTGCACCTTGGCCACGGAGCATGTTCTCGAAAGCCACCAGCATATAACGGTGCCAGTAGATGAACATGCACTGACGGTGTGCCTCTCTCTCCGACATCATATCGGTGTGCATCTCGACGAACTTGATGTAAGCACCAGAGTCCATTGCAGCTCGGATAGCGTTCCGGTACGTGGTCTTCTCGGTCGCTGTCATCATATCCCAGTCCTTACGAAGACGCGAGCCGCATGTTTGAGCTTCGGCAAGTCTCGACACCAGCGCCAACAGGGCGAGACTCAAGATCAAGAAGAGCTTCATGGCTAGAACCTTGGAGTCGAAGTGGGTCGATCACAAGGAAATGAGGAATGAGGTCTTGCATGACGCCGGCATGCGATGATGGCAGTTTTCCATGGGTCTTCCTGAATATTTTCTGGCACTCAGAGGACCAAGATGGCGTGGTAACGCACGTCTGTTCGCAAAGTGGTGATTCAAGCAAGCGGCTGATAGCGGCCCTATGTGGTTCTCTATAGTGCTCCACATGTTGCTGTCATCGTGTTCTGGGCGCAAATGTGGTAGAAGTCCAGATGTGACGCTTTGGAGCAGTCAGTGCTCCTAGGTTCGCTAGAGGACAGGCTGGAACAATGTAATGAAGGCATAAAGACACACCTGATTAAAGGGGTCATTGGTAATGGGTCAAGACGCAACCTCGTTGAACGAAGAATAACTTCAAACGCATACGAAAGTGATTCTTCCTAGAATTTCAAGCTGGAGACTTTCGTCGGTTTTGAAACGCGGAAAGTCGAGCTTCGAAAGTAGCGAATTTCTCACCATGTAGTGCAAGTTGCACCCAGTGGCACTGAGCCAGTGCACCCTCGCAGTGATGATCACACCTCATGACTTATGAATGATGCATGGGACGATGTGAATGATCTATGTGTTCCATATTTTTTCTTTTATAATACAGCTTTTTATTAGGCTTGGTGATTATGTAAAGTCAGTGGACGGGTTGATTATCGCCGAGGAAGCAGCAGGCAACACGGAACTGACGCTTCAATCGTGAATTCCAGTTGTGCCGTCGAACCGGGAGTATCTCGTCGCAACAATGAGCATTTCTTTTTTTTACTGGACATTTCTTGCGGATCCAAATCCGAATCATCAAAGTATAATGCAGGTATCACCTCTACGAATTTGAGCTCAACAGAGGACATGTATCGCTAGACTCTACTCTAGACTCCACGGCGGAGAGAGATAAGGCATTTAGCTACCCCCCCTGAAATCTAAACCCGAAACGCGGAGGCAAAGCCTTAAGGCCCGCTACGACCCACACGCGAGCCTCGCTTGATAACGATGGTCATTATCTGGGTTTGCACCCGCGTGCTCTGCACACGGTCTACAAACCGCAGCCAGACTCGCTTTAGGTGTCCTCCCCGCTTCGCGCGGGGTCAAGTGTGGCCGTAACCTTCGTTGGGGAGTCTAAAGCCCTTCGCTGCGAAGTCTAGCGATAAACTTCCCTCAACAGGACTCAGTTTTGCACAGTAGCTCTAGTTGTTCGAACGTCGAATATCGTATCTACTCTACAGTATCGATTGTTGATGCTAGGTCGTGTTCCCATCGAAATGAGATAGAGGCGTTGGAACGACAGAAGCCAACCATTTCTGGAAGGTCAGTGCGAACCAGTCGTTTAAGAATTTTTTTTGCACAGGGTGGCCGGTATCGGAGTGGAGCTACATGGTGAGCTATCCGGAAACGAGCGAGTGAGCGGTGCTTACCCTGTGACGTAGAAGATGGTTTGGTACCAAACCTTTTTTTAGTTCATACGAGAATGCATAAGCTTCATTTACATATTTTTTTGGAAGAGATCTGTTTGTGGACATATTGGTAATTCTTAGCGGTTCTACTTTTTGTTGGCTGCTGTTGACGCGTTTTGCTTCTTCGTGCTCCAGGAATATTTGCACCTGCACCTACCGTCTACTTCAAAAGAGATAGATTTAACGAACTCGGCTTTGCTACGATCCAAGTATTGTGAGCTCCGACTATTAATAATGTACAGTACCTCTTAAGTCTACAAAATTCCTGGAATTTCGAAACGGTCGCATTTCGTACTTAAGTGATTCTCACTCAAGGCAAGTCATTGACTTGAAGTCAATGACAGATTGCACAATACCAACACTACGGATTTTTTTCCAGATCTCTTTAAAAAAATTAAGAAAATACATTAAAAACAATTTATTTTAATTTCTTATTTTTAGGAAAAACGGTACAGAGGTGTCGACCTCCAACGTTGATGGGACAAAGTGTGATGTGATGCCGAAAAATAGTTCCTCTACTGCCCTCGTAGACCCAAGTGTATTCTTTATCACTAGATTTGTTTGTACTGTAGCAACTTTATTCGAGTGAAAAAACTCGGCTGTCTCGGTGTCGTAATGGTGCTCGTAAGCTTTGTATTTGCTTCGCCTGGTAACGCGAAAGTCATTTACCAATTGTCATTGACAGGACAAGCACCAGCAAAACGACGATGGTTTCTTCCTTCTCAACACTCGTCGTGCTCGGCAGTTCGATGCTGTTGCACGCCACCGAGGCCCACCAAGTCGTGAACGTGCCCTCCCCAACATGGACGCGAGCGAATTCAACGTCCAAGGAGCGCCGTGAGCTGTGGAACCCGCTGTCGTTCCTCGAGAAAGAGGGCTTTAAGACGCAGGAGAACTTCACGCAGTTTCAGGTGGACAACGGCTACAAGAGTCTCCTAGATTTCATGGACCGAGCCAAATACAAGGTCTCAAAGGGAGCTGACCAGGCTTGCGGTTGGACTGACCCGAAGGGTATTCCCCAGCAAATTCCGGAGGACGGAACGATGCGTACGACGGGCTACACGCATGATGGACCGTGTGAGATCTACATGGGCGAGAAGCTCGCCCTGTCGTACCTTAACTGTCACGAATCGATCCCCGAGCAAACTAGCGGGGTACCGCAGTAGTGTAGAGCAGAACGCGAGACAAGAGAAGGAAACGCAGGAGCACTTGAGCTTGTTGCCCACAGAAAAGGAATGGGATTAGAGGAGGAAACCTCGAAGGTGACAACCCCCTCTCTCTTATACACGCAGTATACACTAACTGTCGCGTAAAATACGCTCGTCCCACGTATACTATACAGTAACAGTAGAAGCAAGTTCCTCAGAACTGTGTGATCAGGCGGAGCTCGACACGCCAATCTCCACACTCCCACTTCGGGATCCGTCATTCTACCATCCTCGTATAACGACAGCTTAGTCATCCTTAGTAGCATCGCTCTCCATTAATGGTAGCGGTACCACATTCAATAGCTTGCGCAACTTGGAAAATTGAGTTGATCCAAGTGGTTTCGTAAAAATATCTGCAAGCATTTCAGCCGTAGGGCAGTAACGTACATCAAAGTCACCCCGTTCATAGAGATCTTTCACCTTGTGATACTTTAAATCCACGCCTTTGACTTTGTAGTTTCCCTTCGTAGATTTAATAACTTTAACCGTCGACTGATTGTCTTGAAACAGCACAGTTGGACGACGACGACAAAGTTTGAGCTCTTCGCAAAGATTATGGGTCCACACAATCATCGCAGAACATTCTGCAGCAGCAATGAACTCAGCACTGCATGTGTCATCCTGAGTGATCGACTGCTTGTGGCTCTTATAGGCGTAAGTACATCCATTCATCTGAAGTACAAAACCTGTGATCGATCTGCGATCATCTTTTTTACCTCCAAGATCAGCATCAGCATAAGCTGTGAAATGCAAATCCGAGTTTGCAGGTTTTTTCCACAAAAGCCCATAGTCACGAGTGCCTCGTAAGTAACGCAGTACTCGTTTCGCCATCACAAAGTGCTCCTTAGTATACCTATTCAAATACTTCCCTAGAGTTAGAGTTCGCACAGCATTTGCTAGCTCAGGGCGAGTGCCTTGCACCAAGTATTGAAGAGATCCTACCAACTCACGATAGGGTATACTCGGATCGTTAACTCCAGGTTCATCATCATCTACAGTATCAGGTAAATTTCCTGTAGCTTGTGGTGTAGCCACTGGCCGACAATCTTCCATACCAAAGCGTTTCAGCAGCTTATCAATGTAGCCACTTTGCGACATCCACAAAACATCACCTGGAACATATGAAATCTCCATATGCAACAGATCTTTGACAGGACCCAAGTCCTTAATCTTTAACTTGGCTCGAAGTTCTCGAAGCACCAGCTCAATATTCTCCTCAGTGCCAGCGATAATCAAATCATCGATATAAACCGACACAAATATTGGGCTGCCTCCCACTGAACGAACGTAAATGCCTCCATCCATCTTCGATCGACGAAAGCCTAGCGACCTCAAATACTTGTCCAGTGTCTGGTACCATATCATTGGCGCCTGCTTCAATCCATATAAACTCCCCAGCAACTTACAAACTCGATCGGATCCATCATCAAAATATTCTGGAATTTCCATGTAAATATCAACGTCACCAATCGGTCCATTCAAGAATGCTGTCACGAAGTCCACATGACGACAAGAGAGCCCCAAATGAAGTGCTAATAGTAGGATAAACTTTACAGCCTCTTGTGCGACAGCTGGAGAGTATGTCTCCCAGAAGTTCACCCCATATCGTTGTTGACACCCTTTGATAGTGATTCTGGCACGGTGGCGAATATAGTTTCCGTGAGCATCGCGTTTTCGCACAACCACCCATCGACTTGTCAACACCTTCTTGCCCTTTGGTCTCTCCACTAGTTCCCAAGTATTATTTCTCATCAGGTCTCCATATTCTTTCTTCAGTGCTTGGATCCACTGATCTGCATCAGGAGCAGACAACGCTTCTTCCAGCGTTTGTGGTTCCATAATTGAGTTAACGGCCTCAATCATCAAACTGAGTGGAAGCTCCACTTTAAAGACCTTGTAGCGTGAGCTAGGCCAGCGAGTGCGATGTGAGCGCCGAAACGACTCCGTTGTGTCATTCATCATAACATCATCTTCACTCTCGCTGTCTCTGATCGCATCATCAACTTTATCCACTGGACTAGACGGATCACCAATCGCAATTGGTTCCTTGTCCTCCATATCATCATACTCAACTTCTGCATCAGTGACTACCCTCTCTTTCCCCACTGAAGGTGATGTGTGTGAAGCCACAGGAGGCTCAGCCACTGAATCGCTGTTAGGCAAATTCATGTCTGTATCACCTTCTTGACCTTCACTATCAGTCCACTTTACACGAGAAGGGTTAGCTTCACGCTGTAATAACTGATCTCCTGTCGCAACAGGAAACATCTCAGCCTCAATCAACGGCAGCCTGTCAGGCGCACCTGGACATGCCGGAGAAGACCGCACCTCA